TTCTGGATGTTCCTGTCCGGCACTGTGGATTCAGAGGAACCAGGCAGGGCCGTGCGAGGCAGGGCCGTGCGAGGCAGGGCCGTGCGAGGCAGGGCCGTGCGAGGCAGGGCCGTGCGAGGCAGGGCCGTGCGAGGCCGCTGGCCCAGCACTGAGTGACGCGTCATTGTTTATTTATTGGTTTTGTTGGTTATTCCCCCACTGCTGGGGTTGGCTTGGATGGCGCTGGCCTCCCAGCCAGGCCTCTTTACTTGTCTGAATTTGATGGAGTTGACATTGGAAGCTTGGAAACTGTCACTCTGCCGCAGAACTTCATGTCAGTGTTGTACATGAAATTCCCAGTTTGTAAAGCTCACTTAGAGAATTGCTCTCAGTCTTGTATGTTTTTTTCTTCTCCTAAACACTCACGCAGAAATCCTAAGCGCAGGCTGTACTTATTTTTTTATCCCACGTCGTTATACGCCTACAGGAAGTATCCCCCAAATCCCTGGGCTGTTGAATGAACCAGCTGCTGCCTCTGTGATTAAATGCCGCCTTGCCTACTTTGGGGGGTGGTGGGGGGTGTTGCTTTAGGTGCAACACTAACAAACAGCTGAGCGTATCTGCCCCCACCATTCCCCCTCTTCATAGCATTTGTTTTGAAAATGAATGTGTGAGTGGGGGTGAGGTGGGGGTTGGGGATACTTATGTAAATGTATCACCTTCCAGTTTTCTCTGGCTGGCCGGGAACACCTGAGTAAAGCTTTAGTGGTGAATGTCCCACTCCTGCACGACACGTTCATGTGAGCTGTTGTGTCCATTTATATACGCCAGTGTGAAATACAACTTAGAGCCGGATCAAACTGCTATTTGTAGGTCATAGTAAAGCCAGGAGCCTTTCAGGTGTTTGCTGCTCTGTGTTTCAGTTTGAGTTGTCTGTTGTACGAGGGCAGGTGGAACAAAAACACCTCAGCCCCAGACCACAGTGCTGCAAGGGCTTAGCTGATACCATCTGTAGATTCCCTTTAATTCAACGCTTCCTTGTTGATTACTCTGTTGTTGTTTTTCTATGGCATGCCATCTGCTTCATTAGCTCCTCATTGTGTCTCAGGGTAAGTGCAGCGACAATGAGTCACAGGCTCCCCAGCTGACAGATTCATGTTTACAGCGGATGCAAAGCACAGTCCTCCCTTTAAATAGGATTAGTGGCATGGCAAATGGTGGATTTGCATCTTTGTCTATCTGTCTGTCTATCTATCAGTGTATCTATCTGTCTGTCGTCCAATCCTTTTAATGTAGTTTCCTCTCCATTCCACACTAGGGATTTTATTATTGTTATGATTATTTTTAATGATGAGGATACGTCCTTATGCTTCCTGCCCTAGGTAATGGCAGTTTTTCAGGAGTAACACAGTGAGTGTGCTTTAAGCCGCCCTCCCCACATGCACAGCTCTCAGCGTGTCCTTTCCTGCAGCCCCCGGGAAGACCTTCGTCTCACCGCACTGGGCTTCATGCTACACTTGGGGGATGTACCAAGCCTAAGAAGACCCTCTCTATTGCAGATATCAAGCTGAACATATGAATTGACAGAAGATGGCTAATTAACTCTTGATCCTGGTGATTTACATGCCATTTTTAGTGCCCCCAGGAATAAGTGAAATGTGGCTATGTGATTCTGCTCCAGACAAAGGCTCAGATCTTCATTCAAGATGCACTTAATAAGGCTTCCTTGAGACATGTGTGAAATCATTCATTTTTTCTGGACAAAATGAAATTTCCCTTTACTGAGGTTCTCTCAGGTTTACTGGTTCTCTGTATCTTTCCTACCTACTTGGCAAGCTGCTTCTACTGCTGAATGTTCCAATAAATCTCGCAATTCTTTAAAATAAGAATTTTAATTACACGGGCATGTTACAAGAAATAGGGTGACTGTCGAATTACTTTAAGGAGAGTAATATAGCAATGTCCTTTCTAATAGCCTGGTACCATAATGATGGTCTTAGAAATTGGACTTTCTGAATTGATGATAATGTGTTCATTTTTTAATCTGACATACAATATAAATGTTTATGCTTTGTCACTTTAAATATGGCAGCAATTAGGAGTCTGTTGCTGAAGGTCTGCCCTGTTACACACCATTGCTATGTAGGTTATATTATGCAATGATCGGTAATTATATTTGTAACACAGCGTTTTGATTTTGCCTTGTGGATGAAATGTAGTGGTTAGGATATTCTAGAACACATTGGTTGCTTGATTTACCTGAAGAAACGATGTTTCTCTGTTGGGTGGTATTTGTTCAGAATGCATATGCAGTCTTTCAAACCTATTGATATGGGTGGTTTACACAAGATTAAAAGCACTGATGTTAGTGGTTTTATGAGCAGTAATTACACCCTTATAACTGAAGTCTTGTGCTCAGTGCAGTGCTCTGTAGTGTGGTGTAATGCAGTGCAGTGCTCTGTAGTGCAGTGCAGTGCTCTGTAGTGTAGCGTTATTGACTCTTGTTCTTTGGCTTGCTTTCAGTCTCCCCACGTGGGAGTTTCGTAGATCTGTCCCAGCCCAGTCTTTCAGCATGCAGTCACCTCTGTGCTGCCGATAGCCATGGCCCAGCGAGAGAACAGGCCTCTCTGTTTCCCCTGTGAGATCTGCTGAACAATCACTGTGATGTGAAACAGCACAGCAGCATCAATGGAAATCAATCTGGCAAAGACTGATCGCCCCTACTGTAGTCTGGAGATTAAATGTACCATTAATTTTTGTGAATGTTTTTTTTTTTGCCCGTCCTGCTGCATCTGTGGCTGTGAAAAGGAGAGGCTGCCACCGCATAAACACACAAGGCTGGAGGCAGAATCCCCAGCCGCAAGCTGCTCTGCTTCATCTTGATTAGATAATGATTATAAAGATCAGGTAACACTTCACTTAAAGCTAGCAGAGAGCTGCCTGATTCTTACTGATTGATGTACAAGAGGCTGCTGCCAATGCATTATATATCTGCCATTATGTTTGCGTGGTTGCGTTTTTATGACTCTGCTTATACCACCTTATGACGAGTGTAAGCATGTTCTGAAGTGCTATCAAAATGCACACACATTTCATGTAATCACAATCATATATTCTTGGTTTCTCTAGTTCTGGTGATATTTTTAAAATATGCTTTATGCAAATACCTAGCTGTCAAACTTGATAAAACAGTTTATTCCTAGCAGGGGGGAACGATCAGGGCTTCTGGGAGAGAGAAGACCTGCCTGGCAGCTTATCCATCTAGATTACTTTGGAAGGGCGATACTGAATATGAAAGGCACTCCAGTTTCTCCGATGGCTGCCATCGCTCTTGTAGCCTCTGTGGGGAATGGCGATGTTCCGCCAGTGCTCCCTTTGTCCAGCGTGGGTCTCTGTCCACTGGCGGCTTGGGATCGATTGGCTGGTGCCTTAATGGGAGTGGCTGGTACCATGGTGGGAAGCTTCTGTTCTCCGTCTCACCGTGGAGCCATGCTTCCTTTGTCCTCATCCATCAGAGCTGGAAAGCGAGCTGAGGAGAAATGAACCGACTGGCTTTCAGGCCGCTACCACATCTTTAAAGGCTTCTTGTGATGGCTGTTGGGAATATTAACTTTATGGATTCATCCTATGATGATTTTATCCCATCTTTATTCTGTATTTGCATAATGACCCTCAATTTCAGTCAGATTCTTTCTTTTCCGTTTATCTAAATATCAAACATCTATATTCAAGTGACTCTTCAACCATATCTTTACTCAAACTTTGAGGATGTCGGTGGGGGGGGGGTAAATTTTTTAATAAAAAAAAAAAAACTAGCAAATAAAATTTTCAAGGTGAACTGTTTTGGTATAACACCAATAGCAGAAAATGACAGAAGTTTCTGCTCCTGTCACACGGTTAAGGCAGAATATCTGTGTGATTAATAATCTGTGAATATCTGTGTCATTACAGCCTAATAATCAGAGCAGCAGTCAGTTTTAAAATGCATTGGGACCCTATATGAGGTACCTGGTCATGCACATGACCTTCCTTACCGGGGAGGAGTCCCCCCCCCCCCATCAAAGCCCATTGTCGCTGAAGCGTATTTTTATATATCACTCCTCTTTTATTTCTATTAGACAAATGTTTCTTCTAGTCACGACTTTGTACGATGTTTTTACTAAAGGTGAACATGAGGCACTTGTAGATTTAACAGAAGCCAGTGTAAAGCACCTAATTCTTTTCTGTCTATCAGTTTTTATTTTCTCAGTGTTTCATTTACTTTTAATTATTATATACTTATATATGTAACCCAGCTTTTGCCATGAATATAGCCCCAGGTACTCCCATGGCGAGAGAACTCGATTAACTTGATGCATTCAACTTTGAGAAATCGAACTGTGTTCCAGTCTTTCGCATGCCTTCGGTCCTGTGGTGAGTCCAGTACAGAGCTCTGTGAAATACCTGCCCAGAGGTGCCTGAGTATGAGATGGACGTTGACGTGTGAGAAAAAAAAAAATGCGATGTTATCGATTTCTCACCACAATCGGCACGGGAAACGGCAGCCGGGGCCGGGCGTCCTCTCTAACTGAGAGCGACACTCTGCATTGGAGCGGTAATGAGTTCATCGACATGGCATTAGGCCCACCTCCTGCTTTTAGTTTCACTGTATCTTCCTTTTTCCCGCCCTCCTCGGTGTTTCATATAGGTTTGAATCAATTAATGGACCCTGCTGCTGGTTTAATGCACCGCTTTACTGTAGTTCCAGCTCCATTATTGAGTGAATTAGCAAATCATCAGAGTGCTGAGAGGCTCCAGCCAGCTGGATCTTGCTGGAAGGCAGAAAGTGGGCTGGTTCCCGTGGGCTGCCTGTGATGCAGCGTGTTCCCTTTAGCTAGAACAGAGCGCTTCTGACGCTGAAGGACCTGCATGTGACAGCAGCACCACATATGACTGGTCCTCTGCTGTTACGGGGTTTTCTCAATGCTCAGGACTGTTTCTTACCGAGCATTGATGTCGTTCCTCTCCTCTCCTCACTTCAGATGGAATCTCCGGTCTCCACGCCAGCTCCTCCCCCCCTGCACCTCCTGGCTCCCATGGCAAACAGTGACATCGCCTCCCCCTGCGAGCAGATTATGGTGCGCACCCGCTCTGTGGCTGTCAACACGGCGGACGTGTCCCTGGCAACGGAGCCCGAGTGCCTGGGTCCCTGCGAGCCCGGGACCAGCGTCAACCTGGAGGGCATCGTGTGGCAGGAGACTGAGGACGGTGAGAGTGCTCCCGTGCCAGGGCCCGTTTCAGGGGGGCGGCGTCTGGGCGCGCCCCAGCCTCTCAGCGCTGCCGCTAGCAAAGGTGCCCCACTATAGCCGTGAATGCGATTTGCCAGCCTTTGCCAACCGTTCGTTTGTACGGCAGCCTGTAAAACAGCTGACCTGCCCACCACCGGCTCTGTAAACCTTCTGAATGATGGTGAAGTTTGTGGATCTGTAGTTTGTGAAATATTACTTATGCAATTGTGGTTGTGGGGCCTACCTTTCAGTAAACAATTGAGATAGAAGTACAAAGCGTTGCACGCATGATTAGTAAACAGCGTCAGCAGTTCTTTATGCATATTGATAATAAATTTCACATATTTACCTGAAGCCCCGTTTAGGCCTTTTTTTAAAAATTGGGGGAAAAGCACCCATGTAACACATTTCTGACCTTTCTTTTGGAGGGAGACTTGTTTATGGTACAAGTTGCAGGATAATTGATGCTTTTCATGGTGGCAGGTTGAGGAATGCAGATAGAAGACTGCAGAGAGCTGGGTCCTCGGGCGAGGCGGCCGATTAAGTCAACAAGCCTCTCAGAACCTCAGAGGCTGCTTTAGATTCTACTTAGTGGAGGGAAAGCAATAAACATCTGCTGTCAGTGTGCAGACGCTCTGGAACCCGTCCAGTTCTTTCCAGCTTCGTTTTGGGCTTTGCATGCCCCGGTTGTTATGTAATTCCACGCAGTTGTCTTTAAATATGCATGTGTGTCTGTGTGCGTGTGCACACAGTGCATTACTATGTAATAATTGTTGAAAAATGTATCCCCTCATGCTCCCCTGTCAGTACAAAAGGTCTGAATAACAGTCGTCCTGCTCCGTGAATCATATGCATGCGAGAAGGTAATCTTCAAAGAAGTGCATATGTAAGCAGTGCTAGCAGGAAGGGCCGATTGGCCCACACGATGTCTAGCGGAATCCTTGAAGCAACCTCGCATAAAAGGGCTGGCTCATCTGCATTCCCAGAGCGCTGCTAGTCTGAATGTATTTCACGCTTCCCTGCTGTGGGCGAAGTTCTTCTCGCTCCCTCTCTCACTCTGATTTTCCTCCGATCCACCTCGTCCTCAGCTCTGTCTCCACCCAGGCTCCGTGTGGGGGGCAGGGCAGCCCCAAGACCTTGCCAGCTCGCTTAGGAAGAGCATCTTCGCGATTTATGGTTTTGCGGGCACCTGGGCATCTGTATGCGTCTCCCTCACCAGGCGGGGGTTGTTGGGGGGGGGGGTCCCTGTCCCAGCAACCTGTTTACTGGGGTCGTCGCTGTCACCGGTGCCGCAGATCAGACGGCCTGTCTGCTGCTGAAGTGGATCTCAGATCAGTATCTGCATGTGGGTGGATAGAGCGGCCGCCGGCAGGCAAATCCTCGTCAGGAAGGCAGCTGCTGCCCACCTATTTGGCTCCCGGTGAAGTTAAGCTGTTATCCATATGGAGCGTTAAGTCTCAAGCATGGCCAACGTCTTGCACAACTAGGGTTCATGCTCCAACACGATTGCCCTCCCTCCCCCCCAGCCCCCCACCACTGGCCTCTTTCCTTCATGGCTTAACATCCATCAGAGTATTAGTTTATGTAGTGGTGCAGAGCCAGTTTTGAGGACAATAAAGGTAATATGGCAGCCCCAGAGTTGATAAACTCTCCCTGTCATAACACTCCAGTGAGCCATTGTGGTTACTGCTACAGTGTGGGGAATGTGTACCGGCTGCCCGCAGCTGAGCACCACATTCAAAGCCCCGCCACCAGCTCTTTGATAAAATATGTGCGACTGTGATCAGCTGGACGCCCCCCCCCCCCCCCCCACCTCCAGCTCCCCAGCTGCACTTATCCTGAGTGTCATTTTAGGGTTTGTTGTGGCTGCAGTGCCCCGGAGATCCATAAAAGAGAGTCGTCTTAATACTGCAGCGCTCTGCTTGATAAATGGAAAACAAAACAAGCGATCTCCGGAGAGAGAGAGGGCGAGAGAGAGAGAAAGGATGAGAGAGAGAGAGACTGAAAGCAGCAGTTTTCTGTTGCAGTCTGAAGAGCGATGTGGGCTAGCGATTAAATGTCTCCCACCGTAAAGCTTCATGACAGCACTCCGGATGAGTCATTTTGGAACGCGCTATGGTGTTGATTGGGGCGATTTAGCATGCAGGACAAAAAGCTCCCCCTACCCATTCCCTGAACTGATCCGTCTGTAAATGGATGAACTACAGGTACAAACTAAACATTTGTGCTGTATAGCAGAACAAAGGGTCACTGTAGAGGGACAAACCAATTGCTGAAAAGGCCTTAGAAGGATTTTTACCCCCCCCCCCCCCCCCCCCTTGCTGTAGTGACTGCCTGGTCTTGACATTTAATCAGATTCGAATCGTTTTCTTATACATTTTAGTACATTATGAATAAAAGTCTTGTTCATTTCCATCCTAAAGGGAACAATCTTTGCAGATGAATTTGACTACCAAATGTTGACCTTTAGCAAGCCGTATTTGTACAGCGGCCTGTGGATCAATGAGCTGCTTCACAGAGAGCCATGGGGGTGAACTGGAGAGGGGGAGAGAGAAAGGGGGTTGGGGGCAGGGGGAGAGCAGACAGCTCACATCAATATCCCCCACCACAGAGCGCTGCGAGGTCCCGTCACAGGCGGGCGGAGTCAGCTTTGCAGGGCATGCTGGGAAGCCGGCAGAGCCCGCAGGAGGCTAGGGATGGCATATTAATGTGGTTCAGCGCAGGGATGAAGCCAGCAATCAGAGACCAGCGTGTGCGTACATCCAGCGGTTGGGTATTTGTCCTCTGAAGACTGTGTCGGTGTCCCGCCTGTTTACACTTCCGTGGAAAAGTGGAGGGTACTTTAGTCTACTAACACTTAAGCTAATGATTTAACCTGGATATCAGCTAGCTTGATTTAGGATTGAGCAGAAATCTTTTTTAGCGTGCTCCATAGTCTGGAAACGGAGCGGGACGTGTTCTCTCTCAGGGTGGTGTGCTGTGCTTCCGCGCTCATGGAGGAAAAAAGGCAGATCTGAACAGTCCCTTTTAAAACACTTGTACAAATTGAAGCATTTAGAAATATCTTAGAGGCGAAAGTACCTTCCTGGAGCCTTTCCACAAAGAGATGAAATGAAGTGTCTCAGAAGCTGGTGAAAAGCCCCCCGCCCCCGCCAGCAGCCCCTCCCCCTCACGCCTTTGAATTTCGGGTTTGGCTCCATGGCTCGCTCTCGTCCCGACAGCCTGTCAGAGGCTTCATGGAGATGTTATCCTGAGGAGCGAGCGCCCGCTCTCCGCTTGTTTTGTTTCCGTCCTTGAAGTATGTAATGAAGATGGACACTTGACCCGCCGATGTGTACGCAGCCCTGCCAGTCGGAACGGTACACAAAAGGGCCCGCTAGCTATGTGGCCCCAGGTCCGGGCGCTCCCGCGGGCCCTGGAGCCCCCCCCTCCCCCCCGCCAGCGTGGTCAGATCCTTCTCCCAGTTCTTCTCACTCACTGTTGGGCTCGGTCCAGCGGTGGTGGATGGCCGCCTTCCAGGACACACGCAGCTCACCGCACTAGACAGATTTGGAATGGAAATTGAAGCTGGCCAGAGACCGACGCAAATTTTCCATTGTTGACATCTTGACTTCTCTCTCCCCCCCCCCCCCCCCTTTTAATCTCTGTGGAGGGGGGAAAAAAGGAAAGCTGCCCAGAATAGCAGCGGCCGTGGCGTGTTTATAATAGTTTTACAGTTTTGAAATCTGAGTGCTCTCATGCAGCACGTCGGAAGGCTCTCCTCTCCCTAATTTGTGCGGGGCTCTCGCTGGCTGACGGAAGGCTCCGGGGTTATAAAGCGGAGGAAGCAGGAGGAGTAGATGGCCCGGGATACACGCGGCACTTACGGCAGATGGCAGAGGTGCCGTAGCTGACTAAGGGAAACAACAGCCCCGCAGAGCTGAAAACACCTTTCACTAGAGAGAAAAACATTCAGGGAATCTCTGTGTTCCCTCGTATTTCCTTCTAGGCAGGACAACTGGGCCTTTTCCCTGATCTGTACCTGCATTCTGATCCCTGGAATGTAGCTGATAAAACATCAGGCCTAAAGGAGAGCCTCCATCTTGAAATGTTTAGCTGAATGAAGAAACTGAGCACATTGGAACCCTTGAAGTTGTCTAAGTGCCCTGAGTAGAACGTAGATAAGCTAAGCTAACCCGCGTAGCCATTCGAGGTTAATATAGCTTCTGTTTAAGTTGTATTCAGTGCTATATTCTGGCTCCAATGGATTCTTATTATTCTCATTATTACTTTTCTATCATCAGCCACAACTATCTTTTTTTAATCTAAAACCTTGCCAGTTTGCAGTTCAAACGCTAGTTCTTTGATTTAGCTACTTTGCTAGGTGATGGTGTTTTAATAACGTGGAAATAGATCCTGGTGATTTCCATATATTGATCAGCTTCACAGTGTAGCCCTGTGTGGTTTGATTGTCCTTGCTGTTTGACGAGTGATTTCTTTTGGCAAATTACCCTTGTTGTGGGTTGTGTTTGAAAAGCCGGAAGCTGCTAGCTCTTTAAATGGATGGTTCTTGCAGTCCCCCCTCCCCCAATAGACATTTAATATTATTCATCTCAGCTTGATTAAAGTGCATGGTAAGGTCGTTTATCTAAATCTGTGGCTCACCCTCTAATTGGTGGCATTATGCATGAGACGTGCTGTTCACCTGCACTTAACCCCTCCGGCCTCAGGATGCCGATCTCGGCGCTTAATGAACCTTTGCATGAGTAATTGTTGTTTTCACTCTCATAATACAAATTAGTGGTAATAACAGATACTCATGGCAGTGATCTGAATCTCGCAGGGAGAGATGAGAACCTTGAGATTACATCAAGATGCTTGTTTGAGTGTTAAGACTGCATTCACATTTGTTCATGATGTGATTATTTGTACGATCTGATATTTACTTGTGGCTGGTATCTATGTTCTCATATGGACTTTATTGTCTTTGCCTAGTTCAGTGTGTTTATCTAAAGTGTGCTGAGGATCTTCCTGCTGCCCCATGTCAGCCGACAAGCTTTTCCCATCAAACGCGGTCGATTAACTGTAAGGATTGTCGTACGTCAGCTTTTGTGTGCGCTGTGTTTCAGCGGTGGTCAAATTTCACAACATGCTGGCAAGTGAAAAAGCAGTAAGATTTAAAAAAAAAGCTCAGTTTCTGTGGTGATTCAGTGTCTTCTATTAGAGCTTTATTATAGTTTGTAAAGATGTCCTTTGTCTGCGGGGTCAGTTTGACAGTCGCTTGGTGGAGAGCGGCTTGGGGGCAGGGAAATAAGACTAGTTAAATCACAATGGGCAAAAGTGCAAAGGTTAATCCGCGGAGCCCTTGGCCTACAGACTTGACCGGCAGCAGGGAAGCTGATTATGTAGACTGTGCTCTTCTAACAAAACTCCTCATGAGGAAAATTAAACTAGTGACCCGGGGAGGGGGCCCAGCCCCCCCTGCGAGCCTGTCAGCTCTCTGGTGTCATTAGGGAGCCGTTTGATAAACGCAGGAGAGCAGCGCAAACGCTGTCACGGAGGTGGCTTTTGTTGCTTCGGGGGCCAGTGGGTGGGAATGGGATGTGAAATGACAAGCCGCTTCAGGTCGGGGAGGGGTGGCTTCACCACAACCCCCCATCCCCCCCCCCCCCCCCCTGCAATGAAGGATGCTGGGAAACAATTATGTGTGTAATTCTCTTTTTTTTTTTTTTTTTTTTTTTTTTTCCCCCCACCCCCCCCCCCTCTTCGGAGGACAACTTTATTTTACATTACATTCAAGAGTAAAGATTGTGGCCGCTCCGAACTCACCAGTACCGTGGAAAAGGAGAAAAACAGGGGGGGTACAAAAACAACANGGGGGGGGGACTGGTTTTTCAATAGCAAAGTCTGGTGATTCAAATCAGTCCTCAAACGCTCCACAGAAACCACAGTGTTCCCTCTCGTTTGCCCCCCTTATTTTGGTTCATTCTCAGTCTTAACGCGCACACACACGCGCACACACACGCGCACACACACGCGCACACACACACGCGCGCACACACACGCGCACACACACACGCGCATACACAAGCGCACACTGCAAAAAAGCCAGAAAATCCTTTGCTAAGCTTTTGTTTATCTGCAGACATTGCTGAAGTCACAGCACGGCTGAGCTGCTGTTTGAAGGGGTATCTTTATTGCCGCAGTGAGCCTTGACTGCGCTGCATATTTGCTGCTGTTGGTGTCACGTTTGGAGATGTAGACATTGGGGGGGGGGGGGTTCGGTAGCTATGCAGAGCAGCAGGGCACAGATCCAGACAAGCAGGCAGAACAGCAGAGGCAGCACTAATGTTTAAAACACTCCCTGTGTAGAAAATTTAAATATCACTCACCAGCAAGCCTGCACTATTATACTGAGGAGAAGGGAGAGATGCCATTTAACTCCTGTTTTCTGTGTTTGCCCCCTTTCAACCAGAAGTCTTGATCCCCCACCCGCTTTCATTAAAGATAGAGATGGATAATTGGGTCTGTCATCTTCTGTCTATGGTCTTCAAATAATTATCTCATAACGTCAGCTCTTCCATTTAATTATATTCCAGAGACTCATCTGGATTTCTGGCAAAACCAAATATTTTGATTTGTTGACGGTTAGTCTTAATTACAAGTACAACAATGCAGTTGGCGCAGACTCATTTCCTGTGATTAGTTTTATATCTTTGCCTGGACTTGCTTCCAAGTCTTGAACGATTTGGTTGTGAAGTTTTTGCCAGCGTTCAATCTGCACATCATCCTCAGAGGTGAAAGTGACACTACAGATATTTTACATACAGCAGATGTACTTGAGAATTCAAGTGGGTGCTGTATATAACTCTAGTTTAAACTGGTAGCAATAAACTGACAAATCAGTTTTTTTTTGTTTGAAGTAGACTAGAACTGAGTGACAAGCTTATAGTATGTATGTTGCCTTGTCATGCATGTCCGTAAGACAAACAGCACATTCTCGGCTGCAGTTTAAAATGCCCATGTGTGTCTCGCAGTTGTTCCGCTTCCCCATCTTGAGGAATGCTGAGCTGGACTGAAACCCAACCCCGCCAATAAATAAATCTAAGCAGTGACCTAACCGCTCCTGGCTCATGGACAATTAAGAGCTCAGCTGGGAAATTTGCATGAGATGCAGGACGCCTTTGCGACGCGGAGAGCCGCGTAAGATGGACTTTGTATCGGCTTGAGTGTCACAGCTTGATTGTGAGCGTGGGAGCCCCCTGCTGGCAAGCAGGGCCAGTGCCAGTCCTGTAAACAGATGTAAATGAGTTGATTTACTTCCATTGTCTTGTTTCACCAGAAGCTTGTTCTGTGCCTCCCCCACCCCCCATCCCCCTTTTCTATATGATTGCTTAAGAAATAAATGAGCTTCTTAATCCCTGTCGTAAGGTTCATCCTGAAGAACGTGCACGGCGCTCTGCCTCTCCCTGCCTCACTGTGTGCTGTTCCTCAGGGCTCCCAGGTTCTGCACTCTGTGTATAGTTCGGTCTGTGTTGAAACGCAGGCTTGTTCCGCTGCTGTTTCAGTGCAGAGCCAACAGAGGGTTTCGGGGGGGCAAACCACTCCCATATGTAAAGCAGTCCATGTGTCCTGGAGTCACAGGCTGGTGTCTCGCGAAATCTGCCATCTCTCCCCCCCCTACTTCCCCCAGGCATAGAACCGTCTGCAGTGCAAACTGAAAGATGAACAGGTTTAGTGGTGTGGGAGAGCAACACCGAGGGGTGTTGGAGAGATAGAGAGAAGTGGGTAGGAAAGTGGCCGGGGATGGGGGGGCGGGAATTAGACCGCAAAGTGCCAGCCAGCATTGCTGTTCCATTAGACACATTCGCTCTCTGCAGACTGCAGGGCTGAGCTGCCTCACAGAGGTCAGAACAGGAGGAGAGATCCAGGCACTGGAGACACAGCTGTAAGGAAGCTCTGCCCCCCCTCCCCCACTGCATGGCCGTCTGTGCTTTCGCTTTTTTGTCTGTGCATTTACAGACATTTATGGCTATCTGAGGAAACTGTGAGACGTGGCGGATGCAACTGATTCTTCATCTTGTTTGTGTTGGGCAGTGATTCCAGATCTTTAAATTGGACCCAAGATCCCAAAACCAAGTTTTCTGGTCCAATTGTTTGAGGTCTTTCAACATGTGTATGATAAACTGGTTGTTTCTGCCTGCTAGCCATCTGAGCACAGAACATGCTCAGTCTGCTCCGCTGGTGAATGTCTTGCTGTAAACAGTGTGTTCCCGGTGTGGTGATGGCTGCCACCTACTGTCCAAAGGACCCACGTTTGGAGAGCAGGAGTAAAGCGTTGTCTCCATCTCTGGAATTCATGTTCAGCAGTGTTCAAAGACCTGCCCCTCACAAGATGTGACGTGCGTGAGACGGTTTCTAAATGATATAAGTCCTGATGACTGGTTACGGTCGCAAATTCCTGCATGGTCATGTGGACAAGAGGAAGGAATGCTGGTATGTCTGATCTCTGTGTAATCATAAGCTCTCCGGGACGAAATGGGCTGGCCGCTTTGGAGGTTAAGCAGTAGAAAAATCTGCAGCTGTTTGTAATATTTCAGTCCGTTTACTTAAAGATTGGCAGTAAGGGCAGCGATGAGGGACCAGGGTGGCTCTGGGCAGAGTTTGTATTCACATTGTCTTTGTTTCAGGAATGCTGGTGGTGAACGTTACCTGGAGAAACAAAACCTACGTTGGTACCTTGCTGGACTGTACCAGACATGACTGGGCACCACCGCGGTAAGTCTGAGGGTTTGGGTAAGGGGGCTTTTAATCGCCATTGCTTATAAAATTAATGTATGTCTTGTCCAAAAGCGTACCCCTCTGTCAGAGAGCATGGCCTCAGACTGCAGTATATTTGAATTTTTTCTTTTCTTGCAGCTGAGTCTGTCAGTGCCCTTTACAGAGATTCAGCAGCTGAGTCTGTCAGTGCCCTTTACAGAGTCAGCAGCATCTCACCCTTGGACTTCTGTCCATTCGCCGCTCTCTGCTCTATAAGCTGCCTCACCACTTAGTGGGTGAAGTAGGCTCTCTTGGTGTCTGTTATTTATGTAATTCTTTCAAGGGGGGGGGGGGTTGATTGAGTAGGCCATCACACTGAAGTCCCAGGAGACTGAGAGACTGAGGGAGATTTTTCTGACAAGCAAGAAAGCAGAGGCGTCCAATTACTGCCTTAAAGCTTGTTACCAGTGTCCTCTCTTACAGGCTAGTGCACACCAGTGTCCTCTTACAGGCTAGTGTACATCAGTGTCCTCTCTTACAGGCTAGTCTACACCAGTGTCCTCTCTTACAGGCTAGTCTACACCAGTNTCCTCTCTTACAGGCTAGTCTACACCAGTGTCCTCTCTTACAGGCTAGTCTACACCAGTGTTGCCTCGTCAGTGTGTTGTTCTCTTTTTACACTTTATATTACCTTGTTAATTAACTTGCGGTGATAGTACTTAAAATTTTCATTAGGTGTTGTGTACTTGAGTGGCTTAAGTATGAAAGAGCCTAATAATGTACATGAAACATGAAACAGCCCTGATGTATTGGAGTAAATGTGCTCTTTTAATAGCTATTTTGACATAGTCACCTGTCTAAATTGGATTATTTCCTAGAGAACATTACAGCAGAAGGCCATTTCACCCCAATTACTATGGTTTTTTTGACTGATCTCTAGTGACGGCTGGTTTCACTGACATCTGCAGTAATTTGCCTGCCAACATTTTCCGTTGCTGGTATTCTGTGTTTTTGGACAACTGGGGGGGGGCACTCCAGGCACTGATCAAAGCCTTAGTCTTGCGCGTTTGATTTAACTTTTTGTGGTGTGCGTTTTCCCAAAACTCTCAAAGTGTCAAGACCGAGAATGACAAATGGATCGGAACCAGCTCCACATCTGGTTTGTATTTAATAACGTCAACCCATCAGAATCCCTTGTTGGACAGAAGTCTCACAAGGCGAATCAGAGAAAAGCTATTGCTCACCTAAGTCTGTATTGAAGTCGACTATAAACAACTTGATGCATTGCAGCCAGATTGCATTACAACTAGTGAAATGTGGAGAAATGCCATTTTAAATAACTGAGGAGCACTTTGGATTATAAAAAAAAAAAAAAACTGGCAGCAATTACAGCTTTTTTCTTCTTTGATTACTCAGGTTCTGCGAGTCTCCCACCAGTGACTTAGAGATGAGAAATGGGCGTGGTCGGGGGAAGAGAATGAGGCCTAACAGCAACACCCCCGTCAATGAGAACAGCAACTCCTCCGACAACAAGGGCAGCAGCAGCAGCAAGACTCGTGCCGGCTCCAACAGCAAGGGCCGGCGTGGTAGCCAGAACTCCTCGGAGCGACGTACCCCACCCAACAGCAACACGGAAGACGTCAAGGCGAGTCCCTCCTCAGCCAGCAAGCGCAAGAACAAACCCGCATCTGACATGGAGCCCAACTCCAGCTCTGAGGACACCAAGGGTAGCAAACGAATGCGAACCAACTCCAGCAGTGGCTCGGGTCCCTCTGTCATGCCTATCCCTGCTATCAAGACAGAAGCATTGCCGCCACCTCTGGACCGCAGCTGCTCATCTCCGGTCCTCATCGACTGCCCCCACCCCAACTGCAACAAGAAGTACAAGCACATCAATGGACTGAAGTACCACCAGGCACGTGCTCACAATGACGACGACATCAGGTTAGACCTGGACGGTGACAGTGAATACGGAGAAGACTCCACGCTGCACCCAGAGCCGGGCAACTGTAATGGGGCCGCCATCTCCCAAAAGGGTTGCCTTTCTCCAGCACGATCTGTGACCCCCAAAGGGAGAGGCTTTGATACTCAAAGCCCTTCTCCATCCTCTGGGAAGTTTAGCGCCAAGCCATCTAGCAAGAAAAAAGTGTGCGACGCTGATCCAGATGCTACAGGGATGCCCATGGATGGATGTGAAGATGGGCCTTGTCTTACTGACGAGGCCAGCAATGATGGTATGGATGAGAAGAAAGACAAAGACAAGTCTAAGAAGCCCAGCAGCAGTGCCAAGTCTGACAAATTGTCACAGAAAGGCTTGAAATCTGCCCGACCTATTGCTCCTGCTATACCTCCTCAGCCGCTTTACGCTTTTCAGACAGCGGCCTTTCCTGTCGGAAGCCCAGGCTCCTCTCCTAGCATGACCACTGTGGTGCAGGCAGTTCCCAAGAGCCCCCAGCTGAAAGCCATCCAACCTAAGCCAACAGTGATGGGAGACCCCTTGACTGTGAACCCTGCACTCAGCAGCTCCAAGGACAAGAAGAAAAAAGACAAGAAGAGGAAAGAGGTGAGTAAGGAAGGAGATAGTCCCAAGCCTCAGGGGAAAAGTGGGAAACCTGAAGAGGGCAAGAGCCCATACTCAGAGACATCTGACCCTGGGGCTAAAAATGATGGACTCCTCAATGGCTCTGCAGATCCCCATCAGAGCCGTCTGGCTAGCATCAAAGCTGAAGCGGACAAGATCTACAGCTTTTCTGACAATGCTCCTAGTCCATCCATTGGTGTTGCCAGCAGGATAGACAGCGGAGGAATGGTACAGCCCCTCACACCTCTCCATGTTGTTACTCAGAATGGAGCAGACAACTCCTCAGTAAAAACCAACAGCCCAGCATATTCTGATATCTCTGATGCTGGAGAGGATGGTGAAGGCAAGGTTGATGGTGTGAAGGCCAAGGCTGAAGACCAGGCCATCAGAGAAGGGGCCAAGAAAGCTCTCTTTCCTTCCCAAGCTTCCAGCAAAGAGTCTCCCTACTACACCAGCTATGAGACCTACTGCTCCCCAAGCTATGCTAACCCTAGCCCAGGGGGCTCCAACCAGGGTACGGCTGAGGGGCAGTCTGTGAAGGGGAAGAAGGAGGAGGAGCAAGAGCAGGGAGAGGATAAGGGAAAGGGGGAGCCTTCGGAAGAGCGCAAGCCGGAGATCAGTGCCTCAAGTCAACAGCAGCAGCAGCAGCAGCAACAGCAGCAGCAACAGCAGCAACAACAACAGCCCTCAGTCATCCAGCAACGCTCCAACATGTACATGCAACCCCTGTACTATAACCAGTATGCCTATGTTCCCCCTTATTACCACCCAGACCAAGCATACCACAACCATTTGATGAACACCAACCCAGCATACAGGCAGCAATTTGAGGAACGGCAAAGGCAGGCAGCAGATCAGCACCGTGTGATTGAGAAGAAGTCTGACTCCACCTTAAAGGAGAGGGAGTCCTCCATGAAAGATGAGTGGAAGCAGAAGGCCTCCATCCCTCCTACCCTTTCCAAGGCTCCAAGTGTATCTGACCTGGGCAAGCCGCTGCCCTCCAGTAAGCAGAAAGACACTTCCTCAGAACCTACCAAGTCGGTTATCATCCCCAAAGGGGATGATGCTAAGCTCCAGGGTCCGCAGGCCGAGGGGCTGAAGGTGAAGCTGGCAGAAGGGGGACACCACGGCAAGGAAGAGTCTAAAGCAAGTCTGGAGTCGAGTCGCCAGTCAGGCATGGAAGCCATGTGGTACAGGCAGGTAAGGTGTTTCATTGGTGGTGTTGTCTTTGCCGTATGCTGAATTGTAGGGGTCATCTCTTTTATTGTAGTGTTTTATTGGTTTGTCTGAGGAATCAGAGTATCTGGAAGGGGACAGTGAGTCATGCTGTGGTTAGACTGTTTATTGAAGAGACTCATTCATAAGAGCTTGTACCAAAATCCTGCGTGGTACCCCTTAGGAACAGGACTCCAGACTGTGGCCTTATCTGTACCCCAACAAATACCCGGAGGCCTCCAAGCAGGAGGAGGAGCAGCGCTGGAAGGAGGAGCGTGAGAGGAAGGGAAAGGAGGAGAGGTCACGACCCAAGGAGAGTGCTTCCAAAGAAGACAAAGAAAGTGCTGACCCCCGGAGCGCTATGACCTCGTCAGAGGACCACAGGGGGGTGGGCAAAGATCCCCGTGCAGCTGCCCACATGCAATTCTCCTCTCCACTGGCCCAACACCAGTCATACATGCCCTACATGCACGGCTACCCCTACAGCCAGGGCTTTGACCCCAACCACCCCGGCTACCGCGGGATGCCCTCTGTCATGATGCAGAACTACCCAGGTGAGTGCGGACCAGGAGAAACACCTTTACAGACACTGTGTTCATTTTTTGTGAGCTATTCCTGCAGGTTGTTTAAGGGAATAAAACAGCCACCATAGCAGCTCGTATATAACATGAAGTGCCTTTGTCTCGCCCAGGCTCCTACTTGTCAGCAGGCTACTCATTCTCTCCGTACGGTGGTAAGATGGCCAGCGAGGAGGGGGAGAAGGCCCGTGCGAGCCCGACTGTCAGCAACAAGTCTGCCTCCGAGTCCAAGGCCCTGGAGATCCTGCACCAGCATGCCAGCCAGTATAAGAGCAAGTCTCCAACCGTTAGCGACAAGCCGCCCCATGAACGGGAGCGGCCTGGGGCTGATCGGGAGCGAGACATGGACCGGCCCCGCTCCTCTCCCTCCCAGCGCATCATGCCGTCCCACCACCATCTGGGCTACCCCCTGCTCTCGGGGCAGTACGACCTGTCCTATGCTGCCGGTGAGCCGCCGATGCCGCCTTCGTCCCGGGCGCCAGGCTGCAGTCCATGAATAACCTGTAGTTTATCGATGTTTTCTTTTGTGCTACAAATCTATAATGACAAATGCAGTGACCTACCTGACTTTAGTGACAGAGGGTGATACTGAGCTAAGATACGCTGCCATACAGATGTATGTTAGCAGCTGGATTTTCTGCCTTTTAGGCTTCAGTCCCTCCCATCAGGAACGTAGACACAGTTGATTGATTTTCTATATTAATGGAATGCAGCCTGGGCACGTTTTGAATAAACCTTTCGCAATGCGCTTAATGCTTTCTGACATCCTCCTCATAGGTCTGTCATCATCAGCAATTGTTGCCAGTCCGCAAGCCTCAGCTCCTTCCCTGTACCCCCCAGCGAGGAGGTGAGACTGGTAAGGCCCTTTGTCCAGTGGCTGTGCTCTCACATCTGTTTATGAAACTGGAACATGCCGTGTTAGGCCTTTCTCTGCCGTGTTAGGCCTTTCTCTGCCGTGTTAGGCCTTTAACTTTGGATATGGCTGTTTCTGCATCTCCTGTGCTTTGCTGTAATTGAATATGGCAGTTATTGAAAAGCTTCTCCTGTAGCTAAATGTGGATGAATTAAAAATGAATTTGACTATTGAAATGTATGCTTTTGTTTCCAATACACTCAGCCCGAGAGGACTTTTTCCTAGTCTATTCCAAAGATTTCAAAGAAGCACTTCAAAGTATTAAGGCTTTTTCAGGGCACTAGGCAGTAGTGTGTGTCAACAGAAACCTTGGATTTGAAAGATACCAGAAAGGACTGTATAACCACTACATATGTGTTCCTGGCTTTAGCTAGATGTGCTGACCTCTGCTGGGGAAGAATTTATTTCATAAACCTGGATGCTAATGTCATCTTTGCAGGTTCATAGAGAGCAGAAGATTTTTAATGTCTGAGCATAAGTTTTATTAGTTTTTTTTTTGTTTGTTTTTTTTTTTTACAGGGAAACCTGATTTGGTTCACCCCAACTCTGGCAAGGAGTCACGTGACTGGATCACATGAGGAAGCGGCCAGAGTTCTTTTAGACATCAGTTGAATGGTGTGTCTGTAATTGTTAGTTTTCTACCTGAATGCCGGGGCGGGCCGTCCTTCTCCTCGGTCCCCTGAGGGCTGGTCCCCCTGCCCCAGGAGTGCGTCCAGAAAGCCGACACAAAAGCCATTCTCAGCTGACACACGGCATGCCAACCCCGACACGCCACTGGACCTCTCCCGCTGCACTGCTGATGAGCACTGCACACACAGCAAGTTAACAGCCTGGCTGGAAGGACGGGAGCGTAGCAATATCTCAGCATTAGCAGTGCGTGTGGAAGGAGGTGTGTGGTAGGGACACACCGGAAAAATGTACACCCTATACAGCCTCACCTGCAACTTGACAGAGGAACGTGGATGTTGGTCCAAGCCAGAGGACATTGTGATTATTGTTGAAAAGGCCTGTTTTTGGCTTCAGGATTGTCGATCCCTTCAGACGCTAATGGAGAGAAGGATTCTGTGTGACTCCTGGTCTCTCATTGATTTTCTTTCTGGTTGACCATCATGGTGCTCTATGCAAACGGAAGCTGCTCATCTTCAACATACTGACGAAATGTTCCAAGATCTCTTTCCTAGATTTTTGTTCTCGGGTAGCATTGGATTCGTATTTTTCTCTTTTAAAAAGATATCAGCTTGTTTTATTTTTGAGCGAAATACAGTATCCCTATTTTTTATTTTAATTTGAGATGTTTTACATGCAGTTGTTCTGCATGAGTCTTTACTCTTAAGCCAATATGTCTCCTTCATTTGTTGTTGTTCGTGAGTCGGGTGTGTCAGGCACTGAGCTGACTTTGCCTCTCTGCCAGCAGTGCCACAGTCTCTTCCAGACGGGTGAAATGGTTTACAGACAGTGTCAGTGCACTCAGAGGCCGGTCGAGGCCACAAAAGGCCCTGTCTACTGGAAGAGGTACTTTTTTTTGTGTCAGCGAAGGTTGTGTGCTGTTGACCTCAGAGTGACATTACAGATTATTTAATAGTGAAATTCGGAAGGCCGGCTGTAAGTTACAGGGAGGACAGGTAAGCAAATGAGCTGAGCACTGTAAGCAATCGGCAGGATCCCTTCCAGAGAGGACCACTGCTGTGTGCTGGTTAGCTCATAACTGGGGAGTCCCCAGATTGTAGCGCATCACTGACTCGGAGACTTTTGCAGACTGAACATGGCCTGATCCTCGCTCCATGTAGCCCTCCCCCTCCCGGTCACAGGTTTGATGAGACGTCCGACGAGGACGAGGACTGGCATGGAGACTTTGCTGCTGATCTGCTCAATACGGAAGTCCGATTACCCTCAATCACGTACCATGAACGTTTTTGTTTTGTTGTTTTTTTGTTTTTTTTTTGGGGTGGGGGGGTGTGGGACCTTTTTCTGTTTTTGACTCCTGAACCTGAGGCTTCCCTCAGACTTGTGGAACTGCAGCCCAGGTCCTGTACGTCTGGAAGAGTCTCCTTTCGGCACGGCTGGCCTGGCCTGCTAGCCTCTGGCCCCCCGGCCCCCGGCCCCCGACCACGCTGCTGGGAGGATGATGACCAAACTGGCTCCAGCCCCTTTTTGGCTCGGGGGGAAACTGTGTGAAAAGAGCCCCTTTTCCCCAGAGACACAACGGCATCAGGTATTCAGCAGCTGCTACAGCGGGCTCAGACTCTGCCAGCGGCGGCATGGGGGGGCCCAGGACTGCTTTTGTTTGGGTAATGTCTCTCATCCTATTTATGGGAGGACACTTGGTCGCGCTGAGGGTGGCGATTGGGTGCTGGGGAATTTCCTTCTCGGCTGTCCATTAGTTTTGTGTCACAAGTGGCGTTTTCTGTCATGTACTTTGGCATGGTGTAACTATAGCACTACGAGCAGTAACCTGCGTTTGAAGGAAAGTGAACCGCTGGCGTGTGCTTCAGCCGGCTGCCTCCTCGCCTTTCATGCTTCTCTCTCTCCCAAACATACTCACTGTGCTTTTTCTGTATATATTGTACAGATTAATTATTTTAAGACCATTGGATGCTATTGAAATTTCCTACTTTGTTAGTTTTTTTTCTTTTCCTTTTTTTTTTTTTTTTAAAAAAAAAAACATTGTTGATATAATATCAGAACTGTAGCTGATAACGGCTTTATATTTGAAGTGTTGTGATTTTTCTATGTTTTGTTCTCATTTTGTTCTCATTTCCTTCTAACCCTGCACGCCCGTGCTGGTCATGTCCGCTCAGTGTCCACATCTTCCTTCTTCCTCATGAAGAGATCAGTGATTCCTCTGTCTATGGCGAGAGTCGCGCAGGATGAGCCCTGGATGAATGTTTTAAGGCTTCTGCACCACCCCACCCCCCACCCCCACCCCATCTTTCTGAGGGCCAGGCCCTCCGTGCCCCACTGTTGTGGGCCGGATAGGCAGTTGCAGCCTGGCTACAAGGCACCCATGAAGTTAGTCAAGGCCTCCATATCAGGCCCCACAGCAGTCTCCTTGTTCCTTCGCATGCTGTAGAAAAATGTTAATCTGATCAGTGCCAGCTGGTTTATTTTAAAAATATTTTATCAAAACTGTGCCACGTGATGTATGAGGTGACAGATTGCATTGGTGTAATGAGCATGTATCAATATGTTACGCTGAGCGAAACATGGGATGTCTCTGGTGAGAGGGACCTTTCTCACATGGCTGCTGTTAGCAGAAATAGGCACGTGTGCTAAGACATGGACATGTCTGCACTCTGCTCTGAGATCTTTTTCATTCTTGTGTTAGCAGCTTGCGTCTTCGAATGCCAACTGCGAGCCGTCTGGAGGCCTGTGCACTTTGAGAGATGGGAGAGTTTTGGTCTTATTTTCTGTGCTGAAGCAGAGGAAGCTGGGCAGTATTATTCTGTCACCATGTGTGTAATTGTCATGCTGAAGCACAGGACAGCATCTCCGCTGTGGCTCAGTTTGACGTCTGGCAGCATCATGCTCCTTTAAAAAAAAAAACTGCCTATTTAAAAATTGCAAACCACAAGAGGTAAAGTATGTTCTTTGAATGCCACTCGCATTCCCAGCAAGCTGTGTGGGTTTATTCTCATACGATGAGAACATTTTAACTTTTTTTTTTTTTTTTTTTTATCAAATGGAAGCGGTCGGAAACCAGTGTAAGTAGTAATAATTTAGTCGTTGGCCTTCCGTCTCTGAAAGCTACACTAGGAAATCTGTGCTACCTGTTGAGTTGGTGTGTGCAGATGAAACAGCGCTTGATCCTTTATAATTTATTTTTTATCACTGTTACCCATTGTAGGAAGAAACTTTAATCCCCCCCCCCTCACACACACACAACACAGCCGTTGCTAAAGTCTTTGCTCAAATGGTGCTCAATAGACATCTGTGATCCCACAAGTGAGAAGGGAAAAACGTATCCTGTCGTGAGTTCCTATCTCCATGGACATGTCTGCCTCTGCACCCCACAGCAACCCCCCCCCCACCATCCCCCGTCCCCCGTCCCCTTTTCTGTCATTTGCAGCCAGGGGTTCAGAGACTCGGTATCTGGTCATCGGTACTTGAAAGGAAGATGTTTACATGCTTTTTTTTAATGCTGTGTTTGAATCTCATTCTCCCCCCTTAATCCCACTTGCCCGCCACTCTCCTTATTTTCCTGCACCCCCTCCCCCCACTGAAGTTTTCTGTCATGTAAAGTGTACATTACCACGTTTCTTTTTATACAATACTGTAACTTGCCTTTGTACATTTAGGCAAAAAATAAATCTTTTTATGAGACAATCACACCTGTCCCTCACTGCTTCTCTTTGTTCAGTTTTATTACTTAATTATATTCGATGTTGATTGACACCAGTTATTTGGAAAATAGTACGAAAATATTGACACAACTGAACAATATTTGGATTTCGACAAAACCTTTGCAGTGCTGCCTACACTTTTAGTGCCCTCTGAAAAGCCTGTAGCCATGTCATTGGTGACATTTTTCACCCTCAGCCTCTTTTCACAAGTCGGACATTTTCCTCGAAAGGTCCAGAAAATAGCGGCTGTGACCTTCCTTTAGGTGTATCTATTAAAGGGAGATGCAGATTTCCCTCCTTTGCTCTAGAAGGTGAGGGCAGCTTTAGATTCAGATGCGGAAAGTAAGTCATCACTCATGTCCAGTACATTTAAGTGCATTTAGAGTGTGTCATGGGGCCTCCTAACATCCCTCTGTAAAGCTGCAGCACTCAAATCTCCTCCATGTGTCAAAAACATTTAATGGATATGTTTGATCTGATTCTTTTTGAATTTAATAAAGAGCAGAGTGTTGGGGGAGTTATGGCTTAATGCATGAAATGAACCAGTCTAGGTCTTTGCTTAAATGTGTACAGAAATACTGCATGACTCAATTCTAATCCAAGATGAAGACAATCGGAGCTTATATATGATTCATTTCTGCAAAAGCATGATGTCACTGGGTGTTTTTCCTTCAGTGGAGGATGCGGAGCGTGAGCCGGATCTTTAGGGACTCTGAGCCGCAGATGAGGGTGTGAGGCTTTGGCCGTTCCGTTGCGCTGTCTTTTCCCGAAGCCCCGCTGGTGGGGACGGGATGGTGGTGAGACACCTTTTGAGTTGTGCTTGTGTAGTGAAGACAGACTGTCTGTACTGCGACACGGAAGTTTAAGTTTGTATCATCATGTATCCATTACTGGTCTAGCAGAGCTGAGAAACCTGAGCTGTTCAAAATGTGCAGGATGTATCTGATTAAACACACCTGCGTGTTGCTGTAAAGAACACCACTATCCTATTTACCCATTCAATGCCTGCTGCAAGTATATCGATGTAAACTGTGTGCTGTAGATGTTGGGGAGGCTACTTTAGCAGGATAGTTGAAGAACATCAATGAATTTGTAAGGAATTCTTTATCTTGGTCATCTGAAGTTTGGTGTAATTGAAAATATACCCACATCTGAATCATAAGGCAAGAGAGAATATTGTTGTGGCAAGACATTCTGCCAAGAAGGGTTTAGCAGAACAAAGTTGTGAAATGGGGCGACCCCAGCTCTGGCTGGGTGTGAACTGGAGATGCGCTGAGGCAATGGTTTTTTTTACGGTTTGTAGTGGTGAGGCTAGTTGGTGTTAAGAGACAAGCTCCTTCTTGCTGAATGACGGCAGTACAGTGGAAAATTGGGACTTAATGGAATGTTCAATTTACACACCCAGTCCTGAGGCTCCAGTGGAATGTTCCAATCCGGGTAACAGAGGGGGGACACCTCCATCATCGAAAAGGACACGAGAATTGCCATTGGTCAAAAGCAGTCTTTTCTGGATATTTATCGAGCATTTCATTTCTCTTGTTAAAAAATACCCATATAAAGGTTAAGTGAAGGATAGGTGACTTTACATAGATTCTTACAGTGGAGCTTTCACTGCATAGTCTGCAGTCCATAACTGGTTCTTGTATCTACACCGATTGTTCCCTCCTTTCTTTGATTGTGGGATTACTCTCTATCTCCATCTACATATGAGGCATAGCACCAGGGATGACGGTCACGCAGGAGATTTACAGGAACAGGAGGTGAAGGCACCCTCAACCCCCCCCCCAAGGGGTTGTCTGTCATTTCTCAAAGCAACGTTTTGAACTTCAGTGGTGTCCCACAGACTATACTACAGCAGATACTTTCTCCCAAAGCATAAGATGATATTGTCTGTAAATATCAATTTCCTCTCTTCTGAGAGAAGCGCACGTGCTACAAGTTCAGTGTTTGGCAAAACCCCAGGTGGTGCAGATGACACTTATCTATTTAAACAAATTTGGAAATCAGGCATCCTGCTTCTTTAGATCAAAAAGCCATAATACAAACTCTCTTTGGTTATGAATGTAAGCACATTTTCAGGAGGGTGGATCGTCTGAGTGACCACAAAAGCCAGGCTTTGGTAGGAATCCAGAAATTACTTGATTCTGGCACGGTTGTTTTAAAAACCTGAATTCACATCTGTACAAATATGAGCGTTCTGGATTTTCAAAGCAAAGCTACAAATGGTTACCATCTGTTAATGTGACATAACACGTCTACATTATCGGTATGCTCGTAATGACTAGGCCTATAAGCTAATGCAAGGTACCTTCACAAACCATAGTTTGATTGCATTGTTAAAACTAAATTCTATTCGAACATAGCCTATTCGATAAAATTTCAAGCATCTTATCAAAAGCTAAATCAACAAAAACGAGCCAGCACCCGTAATACACCGCACAAAAAAGTGTCGTTTAAAAATTCAAATGCATAGTCGTGTAATTAAAAACGCATTAAGACAACAAGCTACAGATCACGCCCCCGAGTCACGCCCACTGTGGTCGGGGATGCTGAGTGCAACAAGTCCGCCGTCTGCATGCCTGCCTGCTCGCCTTCCCCTCTGCGTGCTTGCGTGCCCGTCTGTTTGCCTTCCTGTCTGCGTGCCAGTCTGCTTGCTCGCCTGCGTGCCCGTCTGCCTGCCACCTCCCCGGTCCGTCAGTCCAGGAAATTGAAAGCGCGCTCTCCTCGTCGGCTTCTCTACTTTCTTCCTTCCACTTGTGCCAGAGATGCGGAACCCGGACTTCTTTCGCTAGTCTGCGGGAGACATGAGCCGCTACTGGGCGATCACCTGTCGCGCTGAGGGTAAGTTTATGATGAGCCGCTGGAAGCGGGCGGTCAGGCAGCCGAAGCGCTGCTCACAGGGTTTGTGAATAAGAAAATGTACTGAAATGAAATCAGAGGAAAATCTACGTGTGCATCAAAAACCGCAGTTCTCTTGAACTACCTATATTAAGCTTGTTTTACTCAGACCTGTTTTTGAATTTGTGTTAGCATAATAAAAGCCCCATGACTTCAGGTGTATAAATATCTCTAATTTATATTCCTCCTGTTCACTCGAGCCGACTAATCGGGAATGGTATTTAATTATATCTGCCTGAACGTTATATTATATTAGAGTAACTGAAAACATTGTCGGAGAAGTGTGGTGGTGCAGAATGAGATCTGCGCGCCCCCGATGTTCTCTTTCACTATGAGCACCTCACGCTGGTGGCGGAAATTTGCACCACAGTAAGATTTACCTAAGAATCGCTTCAAAGGATGTTTAGCTTTCAATAAAAGTTCGTAAGAAGGAAGTGGGTGGGGGTAATGAGCTTACCAGTGTGTGCCTTACTGTTTTTAAACCCTCTGTTAATAATGTCGGAAATAACGTAAACGAATCTGGGAATTAAAGTGATTCGAACGCTGTTGAGTGTAGATCAGTTAATGAACGCTGTGTCCCCACTGGACAAGAAAGGGACAGAAGTAATGAAGCATTTTTTACTGACTGATGAGGACATGCTTGCCATTTGGCAGGCAGGAGATGGACACCAGGAGCAGATATGGTCTGGCGTCTTTTTTTTTTTGGGCTCTGTCAAGGTGACCTTTCTCCCCCCTGCATCTGAAAAGCACGCCGTCCATCAGCCAAAGATCTATTTATGGCGTTGGACAGCAGCAGGAGTGATTCTTGTTGAGAGGGTCGCCGGAGGGCAGCCCGCTCCTTCAGCTCTCGCTGTGTCTGATGTTGTAACTGGTGTGTGGCAAGGCCAGTGGCTGTCAGGGGTAGATTTGCTAGGCGAGAGGCAAAAATGCTGATGGGGCAAGATGGAGGAAGGAACGCTTTGCTGGTTCCGACTGGAGCTGAGAGGCTGCAGAGCCGAGTAAGTGGATTAACATAATTGGATTTCGGGTGGTCTGGTGACGACCTGCTAAATGTGTTTTAATCAGGAATGTCTGGCAGCGTCCTGCATGATGGCCTCGCTTGACAGGAGCCTCCTGCAGACGGGGCTGGCCATCGGGGCCGTGGGTAACCCTGTTAAGACCTCTTACAGTGGCTCATCACTGCATCCTTAATGAGCCCAATTTTGCTAATGGAATTTTAAAGGGATAGTTCTGGGATTCAAGCAAAGCTGCTGTCATCTGCCGCCCTGAGTTTTATCTGGCTTGTAAATCAATATGGCATCTTTCAGTGCATGATTACCATCCCTAATTTTGGCTCTGATGCTGACAGGTCTGTGTTTTTATGCGCCTGGCTATCAGTGTGGTGCTTTCCATTGGCTAATGACAATGATCTCTTAAGTATGTTAAACAGCAGAAACTGAATCAACACAAGCACAACAAACGCAACAAATATGGTGATAGTAAAGGCAGGATACACACAGGTAGCAAAAAAATGCAAAATGATGTGTAGAAATATATAAATACGCAGAGGAAGTCAGAAGTGAATTCTTTTTTTTTTTTTAAATCTTTGTATTGATATGCAATGCTTGAAAACAATGATACATCAACAAAGTTACATGTCTTCTTTTTCATATAAATGAAAGTTCAAGCCCACAGTAAAACAGAACCTCCAACCGTATCTCACCCTAAAAGGGCTTATTGCTTTACTTTATTACTTTATTTAGTGCAGGGAGGGGGAAATAAGGGTAACCATTAGAAGTGAATTCTACTCATAAGCTTTAAAGTGTTTGAAGCAGGCATAGTGCATTGTGGGATTGGGTCCTTTGAAGTCTGGGCAGATTTATCTATAAAAATCTATAGTAATATTGTAGTGCGATTGAACTGAACTCAGTTCAGTTGGTTCTCGGTCATCACTTTTTCTTGTTTTGTCTTTCAGGTAGATTTTTAATATAATATATTTTTCTGTCTTTAAAGTTGGAGTAGTGCCATCAGACCTCAGGGGTTACTCACCAGCATTTCCGGCTGCAGCACTGAGCTTTGATGCTCACTATCCGCGGGGGTGTTTGGTTTGCAGTGATTGGCTGCTCCTGGCCTCTGAAGGCTGTGTGCTCTTCGTTTCACATGTTGGACATGAACAGACACCAGGATGAATAAGGATTTTTCTGGGTGGTGGTTGTGAGGGAGACCAGCACGGCTGTCTTGGTATTGCAGTGCATTCTGGGGCTGGGGTTACACTCTTATATTCAGTAAATGAGCTCGTCTCCTTGGCCGCTTGAGGATCCTGCCAGATAGAGAGCCTAAAGGGCTGCTTAAAGCTAAGCACACTGGTTGGCCTGCAGTTGCCGTAGAGACCTTTCTCATCTTTCTGCCCCCCTGTGACAAGGTGCCCCCCCCCCCCCTGAGGTGCTAGGAATCGAGCCACCTTCTGATGTCATGTCCGTTGAAGAATGAGACCTCTTTGCCCCTCTTCTTCTTTCCTGGTCTAGCCTCTGGTAATGGCGGTCTGGCATGTGTTCCGCTGCCTTTGTGTGAGCTGTGTTGCTCCATTAGCTGCATTCAGCCTCTTCCCAGAGTGCCAGCTCTCCTGGACACTTCAAACTGCAGCACCAAACACACAGATAGCTTTTTTTGCCAATATGGACCTTTAAATGAAGTATTTAATAACATGAACCTCGAACGACGGGTTGAGATGAGTGTCGTCGATTGGCACCGTCTCTGGGCAGCACTTGTTATTCACAGTGCTTGCCGCTATTCACTGGCCACTGATTGGCCTTTGTAAGGAGGTGAGTAGAACAAGCTTCTAGAAGTCTTCTTTAGATGCTTGTCTCATATAGTTTCCTGCTTCTCTGCTTGCTGAGCGGAAATTCCTCTGGGTCCCAGAAGCTATAGGGATTATGCCCATAGTATTTATGTATTTTCTTCATTCAGGACAAAAATACTCTTGACATAGTAACTTAAAACCAGACAAGAGGTGGCCTTTTTTATCTTTAAGCTTGAAAACTAGAGCTTTATGTATTTTTTAAAGCCTGATTATCTGTGTGCTGTACCTTGGCACCAATATCCTGAAAATCGCTCGTTCTACTTTTTGAGCATCCCCAGAGGACGGTCACAAACAGCAGCCGGCGAAGCTCCAGATTAATGTGCGTAAATCCCTCGCCGCCGAGAAGGCCGTGCTTCACACCCAGTCTTCGCAGCTTGGGTGAGACAGGAGTAATGAAGTTACTAGGCTGGGGTTTCTGTAAAAGTGGCTGAGATGGTGATGTTCCTACTCCTCTTCACTGCTGCACCCCTCGATTTATCATGGAAATGGGTCTCCATGTCAAATACCACCTCAGTCATGTTTTTAAATGCTTCAGATGAATGGTCTGTCTGTCTGTCTATCTGTCTGTCTATCGATCTATCTATCTATCATCTGCCTGTCTTCTTTCCTTCCTTGCATTTTGGTGGATGAACTCTGGAAATGTCCGATTTCTTATAAATGGAAGTTACCGTAAAGGCCTGAAAGTTGAGCCGGGCTTTCCTCTGCAGGCGTCAGGCTGCGTTAAAGATGGAGGATTTGCAGAAAATAATTCATTAAAAGGGGATTATGGTCTTCTTTCTGGCATGCGTCCCACAGGCATAATCGTCGGGCCAGGCTTGCTGCCCCCTCTCCCCCGCCCCCCACTTTCTGTCTCATAATCTTTGTTTCTCATAACAGTGTTTAATCTGGTCCCATCTGCAAAATCAGGCTGTTCTGCTTCTCATCAGCAAAGGTCATATATGTGTTTTTTGTGTAGATAGAGTAATCCTATGTATTTCTGCATGCTGTAGTTGGGTTTGGTTTTCAGCGGTGTATCCTGTCACATGGGAGCAGTGTTTACCTTCCAGCTCAGATGATGATCAGATAAGAACGATAGATGGTATCTTCACTCCGTAAACATCAGCGGAAGGGCTCCCTGTTTAACTGGCCTTTCTGTGGATTTCTGGAGGGAGTGAGAATGACTTTCGGAGGGAGGAACACCGGCCTTTCTCTCTGCAGTGGGATGTCAGGTTAAATTAAAAACAAGGAGGCGAGTGTGCAGCAGGAGAGTGATGTGATGTGGCTGGGAGAGGTGCAGCAGATGAGTGATGTGCAGCAGGTGAGTGATGTGCCGTGGCTGAGAGAGATGCAGCAGGTGAGTGATGTGCAGCAGATGAGTGATGTGCAGCAGGTGAGTGATGTGCCGTGGCTGAGAGAGATGCAGCAGGCGAGTGATGTGCCGTGGCTGAAAGAGATGCAGCCAGGCAGGTTGTTTGTTACACCTTTAATTGTGCACGGCTGAATTTAACGATATCCCCTCCCGAGGGGGCGCGGGTGCTGCTGAGGGATTGTGTCTGTAAATAAGCTTGGCGTGTGAGACGGCAGCATCTCCACTCGTCATGCACAGGCCCAGGACCATGGCGGAGCAGCGGCAGGAGCAGAGCGAGGAAGTCAGCCTCTCGACCCCGCAGGACCTGGCGGAGACCCTCAAAGAGGAAGACTCTCAGGGCCCCACGGAGTTCAGGCAAGGCATGGCACACATCTGCCGCTTCCTGCGTGCAGGCTGATAGGGGGAGCTGTTGGCTTCTGTCCCCTGCTGGAGACCAGGAGATTCATTTTGTTATGATCTTAAAACTCAAACCAGTGTTAAAGAGGCAATACAGAAAAGCAAACTGATTTATGTTGGATTTTCTTTTTTAGATCAGGTTCATGTGGTTTAATTTTTCCCCACTTTTTGTCCTTTTCTATATTGGTTATCTGTGCCATTATAAAGCACAAAATTACTACTTAAATTAGCTTAAATACACATTAGGGGTTGATAATCTAAAACTGGACCAAGTGTGATAAATGAATGGATTTGTCAGGTGTGATGTTAGAACAGAAATTAAGATCAGAAAAAAATCATTTTGTCCGCAAAGCATTTGCCAGTTATCAATTGGTATCCCTGAAAAAGGTTCTGCTCAGGAGGAACTGCATATTTTTAATTTCTATTTTAAGGTGCCATTCCGCAGTGTTGGCAATAGCTTTGGTGAGAACTATTTTATTATTATTTCTTTGACTGGCTTACGATGCTGTAATATAGGCAGTATGTCATGTATGTCAAGAGTTGATGCAACGCCCCTAGTTCCCATTTCTGTTTCTCTATAAACACCAGCATGTAGGAAACATCAAGACCACATGTGCAGAGTGCGGGTCATGTGACAGAGGTCTAAAGCAGACCCTGAGGATGTCTGCCCCTCCGTCCGTCACTAAGGGCCTTCCGATTCCGAATCCTGCGGCACCAAACTTTCATTTGAGTATTAACTGGAGGAGATTATTACGTAGAGATTTTGCTCCACCAACTGGCAGTTAAAAGCCCTCATCTAAACCGGGGCTGGGGAACCGGAACCATGGAGGGCCGGTGTGGGTGTGGCTTTTTAGGGTGACCTTTCAACCAGCCAATAATAAAGCAGCGACTTTCAGCTCCAGTCCTGGGGATCCACGGCTGACTGAGAGGTCATCCCAAAAAGTGCACCCACACCAGCCCTCCATGGATCAGGTTCCCCACCCCTAACCTAGATCTTCTGTCCCAGGTGACTGTGTGCCCCAACACTTTTGGGAAGACTTGCATTCAAGTGAGAGTGCTGCTGTTTGAGCTTCTGGTTAGCCTGGTCAGGGAGGAGAAGGATCATATCGATAAGCATCAATCAGATTGGCAGTGCATACAGACCCCCTACTTCAGCAGACCTACATGACAGAATTGGAAGGTTTTTTTCAGGGGGGGGGGGCTTCTGAATTCTATCCATTTTTTGAAATTGCTTGTCCTAGTCAGGGTCCCAGAGGTCTGAGGGGGGCATTCCACGAAGCAGGACTTCTCAGTTATAAATGCGTAAACTTAAGTTAGAAGTCATGATCGTCCAATAAGAGTTTAGATAAGGAGTATTCCTATTGGACATCATGACTTCTGCCTTAGGTTAACCCAGGGAATAATCTAGGATGGGACGCCAACCTATCCCAGGGCACACGCCCTACAGACACTCTGATCACTCCAGTTCACCTCAAGGCGTTCTTGGGCAGTGGGTGGAGGCCAGAGAACCCGGAGCCGGCCAGTCAAACTCTGCTCTGAGGCATGAGGCCATAGTGAGAACCACCACAGCAGCCCTGGTTTCTGAAGTCTTCACATTTCCTGCTGAAGTCATGTTTCTGCCTGTTTAATGATGGAGGATGGACAGAAATGGATCTGTGCAGAGTTTGTGTGCTTGCTCCAGCTAGCCAGCCCCCCCCCCATTCGGGACTGAGGAAGCCACTTTAACAAGCCTGTAATGCGCGCCTGATATTTCCCCCCAACGTGAGCCACCCGGCAGGCTAGCAGACCCCCCACTGCATATCTGCTCAGTAATCTCATCCTTTATCACAGCAATTCATGCTATTCTGCGCTACATTTTAAAGGTGATGTGATAATTAGATTATTTATTCTCTCTTTTGAGGAACAGGACACCCAAATGTGACGCTAATTCAGTATTTGTTTCAGCGGCTAACAGCATAAGCAGTGGTGCTAGAAATTTAGTTAGAATTTTCTGCATAAATATGACTGAAAATGTGATCAGATTTTCACGTAAATCTAGATAAAGAGATTTTTGAGACTTTACAGACATTAGAGACATCGGGTGAAGCCCTCACTTATTTAAAAGAGCATCTGCTCTATCAAAGTCTCATCTTCACAGCATACCGTCAGAAAAAGGCTACAGCCCCTGGTACAACTTATACCCCAAAATACAAACAACATGAATGTAACCCCTATTGTACGAAAATGTTCCTCAGAGTCCATGTCTGTACCTTCAGTGGTACATATTCCTACAGCTAGGGTACAACTGGCAGACCCTTGAGGGTACAGCCCCAGTAATAAGTAATTGTACCCTCAAAGGTACAAATTGCTAATTTTTTCTAACAGTGCAGGACCTCAGAAAAATAGCTGTTGATGCTGACCAGACTGGAAAAGCATACAAAGCCATTTCTCAGGAGTTTGGGCTCAGCAGTCCATGTACAAATGGAGGAAATTCAACACCATTGTTACCCTCCCCAGCAGTGGTTGACCAGCAAAGACCGCTCCAAGAGCAGGTCGTGTAATAGTCTGGGAGGTCACAAAGAACCCCAGGATCTAAAGGCCTCTCTTGCATTGACATCCACCATCAGGAGATCACTGAACGGCAATGGAGAAAGCCAGGACTCTTCGAGAAGAACATTACTGCCCATCTAAAGTCTGCTAAACATCAAATGAACAAGCCAGGAGCTTATAGGAAGAATGTTCTGTGAACGGATGCATTCAGTATTAACCTTTTTGGCTTGAATTAGACGTATTTTATTTTGTCAAAAGCAAACAATGCATTACAGCATCAGAACCTTCAGCCAACTTTGAGAGGAGCCTCACGATGGCAGCATCATTGAGACTTTGCTGCCTCTGGACCTGGATGGCTCACCATCATTGATGGGATTTAGAATTATACCATTATTTTCCTCAGGAGATTCTGAGGATATCCGTCTGTGAACTGAGAGAATGCAGAATTCTGAAGACAGTATTTCCAGATGCTACATTTAAGGATATTTAAGGCTATGGGATAATAGGATATGATAATTTAAGGATATGATCATTTATATTATAGCAACATGTCTGTTTGCATTTTCACGATCGATGAAGTTGACTCCCATCCAGGCTGTAATGGAATATTCCACTTTGAGACTTCACACCTACCTTGGGTTTCACAGCTAAGTGAACCGGCACAAAATAGCCTAACAGAAGAAAACGATGCAGAGACACAATGCTTACATCTCCTGTGCCTTAAAACAAGTAAAGCATATGAAAAAATTCAAGACTAACCTTAGCAAAAGAGAGAACGGTTACGCTTCTTAAATTTGGCCAACTGACCCACCAGTGTGGTACCCCCTTCGCCCCCCCAGCCCCACCTTGATCAGTAAGCTTTGCCACTGCCCACCCCCCCAGCCCCACCTTGATCAGTAAGCTTTACCACTGCTGCCCCCCCCCAGCCGTCCCCATATTGGCCCCTTGCTGATCTGCAGGGCTGAGTGACAGTTACTGGAACTTATTACTGCACAACAGGTTCACACCAGTTACTGACGGCAAGGTTGCATCCTTTTTCACATTCAGTTCTGTAACATTAGATTATATTCCTCAGATAATAAACTGACATGTATGCTGTTTTTGTGTCATTTATTTGTTTTCTCTTAGTCTAGTTTTAGGACTTGCATGAAAATCTGATTACATTTTAGTCATATTTATGCAGAAGTACAGAAAATTCTACAAACTGCACAAATTTTCTAGCACCACTGTATAGATAAACTGTTAGAAGGCGGATGGAAGGCTGGGTTTTTCATGGACATAGAACACACGAGGCCCCTATTTAGCTTTCTGCAGAAGTTAGTCAGCCAGTGACATAAATGTCTTGCCTACACCCCACCTCGCCTGCACCCCACCTAGCCTGCACCCCACCTCACCTATACCCCACCTCGCCTGCACCCCACCTCGCCTGCACCCCACCTCGCCTATACCCCACCTAGCCTGCACCCCACCTCGCCTATACCCCACCTCGCCTGCACCCCACCTAGCCTGCACACCACCTCGCCTATACCCCACCTCGCCTGCACCCCACCTCGCCTATACCCCACCTTGCCTGCACACCACCTCGCCTATACCCCACCTTGCCTGCACCCCACCTAGCCTGCACCCCACCTAGCCTGCACCCCACTTCGCCTATACCCCACCTCGCCTGCACCCCACCTCGCCTGCACACCACCTCGCCTGCACACCACCTCGGTTGCACCCATACACACTGCTGTAGGTCCCGCTGTGAGCCTATTCATTTCCCATGTTTATCAAAATGCTTGGGAGAGAGCTAATGTGGCTCTGAAACTCACATCTACACTCGCACTTTGTTTTCTGGGCCACCGAGATCTCCTCAGGGCTGGGACAGCACAGCCTCACTTGTCACCTGAGTTCTAATTTTGGCCTGGCAATGTGACAGACAACAAGCCCTGTATGTCAGAATGGCTGCAGTCTGTCATGAGAGAAAGCAGCTCTAGACACTGCAATGTTTTATTCTTTTTGTCCTCTTTTACCACGAGAGAGTTTTTACGCTTAAAGCCTGTACCATATAAAATGCATTTTCTGCATGAAAAGAGCAGTTCACCTCCCATCCTTCAGCACCCATGCAGGCAGATGTCTGGATATTTACCTTCTTAACTGTGAAACTGCTTTCTGGATACCATACAGCTGTCCTGTGAGGGTCTCCGTGCCTTGAGACTTGCATTGTCTCTTTGCGTAGTATGTTCTGCCATTGCTTTATGGAGAGTCACTATTTGTGCAGATATATAATACTCTTTATTTCCATGTTTCCTGATTGGTCCAGAGGGTTTGGCTCTTGTTAAGTATCCTGTTTTTTTTCTTCTGGGTATATGCAGTACACTTCAGTGTACTGTGGGGATTAACTGTACCCCGTGCGATGGAGGCACCGTGTCATGTGACAGCTCGTGACCCATAAAAGGCCACTGACTGAGTTGTGGAGATCAGTGATTGCCTCCAAGTGGTTTCACCAGTGGCTTTGAAGCACGGCCAATTCTTACTGGGTGCAGGGGAGGTGAGAGACCGTGAGTACTGTAATATGAAACGTGTGAGGGAGGATTTCAGGGTCAAGCAAGCATCCAGGTCCAAACTGATCACAGTTGTAGTTATTGCAGTACTCAGGAAGGTGCGTCTTATGGCTGGAGCTGGGCGGCAATGGGAATATCCTTAAGGTCTGTTCATTCTAACAAGCTTTTCATCCAAAGTCCAGCATTTCTGGCATATTTAATTAATAAACACAAAAAACATAAAAATGTTTGGGTCAGTTTTTCAGCTTTACTCCAGCAAGTATAGAAATATAAGACAAAAGAAAATGCCTGTTCTGTCTGAACAATGTGCATGTGTCTGCATGTTAAAATGCCTTGAGCTTTTCTAGTTTATGATGTAGTAAAATCTAAAAGGTTCCTTTTATGAGGTTCGATACTGAGCCCTGTGTGTGTTTGGGGCTGAAATGTGATCTTTAATGCATTTGTTGTGTATGTTCCAGCTTCCCCTATGTCTCAGACACGTCACTCTGTCCACTCGGATGATGAGACTGTGTCTGACCAGCCTGTCGTTTCTGTGTCACAGGATCCATCTTATCAACAACTTGTCACATGAGGATGTGAAAAAATGTTACCGTGGATCAGTGAGTCTCTCTTCTCATTTTGGTGACCGAATTGTTCGCAGAGAGATAACATCCCTCACATGGGAATCATGGACTCACCCCCTTCCTGACACACACGCATGCGCACACACACACACACGCACACACGCACACTCACACGCACCCGCGCACACTCACTCACACACACACGCGCGCACACACACACACACACACACACGCGCACACACACACACACGCGCACAGTCTTTTGTGTTCTTGTAGCTTTAGGCCTGACACAGAGAGTGAACTTCTTCATGGCTCAGTGGTACCCTTATTTATCTACCTTAATAACATAACCCGCTACTCAGTGGTATATCCGCCATGTGAGCAGAGGGTTACGTTTCCTTCTGAGAAGCCTGGCAACTGTCATATAAAGTTTGTAGCTCTGCATGTTGTGAAACGGGGAAGGTGGAATGGATCTGTTATAGCTGTCCATAAAGTATCCCATTATGAAAGATGTCTGTTACTATTGTAATATAGTATGTGTGTCATTTGGGGCCTGGATACGTACTTCCAGTGTTAAATATTAAGAGAACACACCCCTCGCTCGATCAGACCATGTGAGTCATGATTTTGGTCTAAGGAGCTCCAGGAAGCTCAGGTGACCTGAGAGGGAGGGACTCGCCTCAAAGCAGAGGAGGCACCGTCCTCTCCATCTGCTTGGGAGTTAGTTGGTTTGCTTTGTTCTTCAAGGGGGAAATTTAGCTGAGTGGTCGCCCACTGGGTGGCGCAGTGGCAGGGGGGCAGGCTGCATGACAGGGTTTGCCCAGCATGCTGGGGCTACTTCACCGGTCCCAGCCCCCAACGCGCGGCCTTAGCCAGCCACTCACCTGTCCCTCTCCCTGCTGCTCCCCGCAGACGGTCAGCAAGTACAACTCGCAGTACCACAAGCTCTTCCAGGCCGTGCCCAAGGAGGAGACGCTCATGAAGGGTAAGGAGGCCGGCTGCCGGCACGCCACGTCGCCGTGGTAACGCACACGTCTGGAGCATGCCTGGTGGTTTTGGCTGGGATTGGACCGGAGCTCCAGCCAAAGGTCTAGCCACTTTGATAGATGACATCCAGGCAGCAGCGAGAGCTTTCAGCTGCAGCCTCGCCTGGTGCAAACCACCGTTTCCAGTGCAGAGGGGGGTTAGAGGCCTGGGGTTAATCACAGCCAAAGTTTGTTTTTCCTTTTTGCCAGTTTACCACCATTCCCCCATGGAGGGCGTTGTCATGCCTTGTGTGTGTGTGTGTGTGTGTGTGTCTCTGTGTTTGTGTCTTTGAGTGTATCTATCTGTTTGTGCATATCTGTCTGTTTGTGTTTGCGTGTATGTGCATGTGTGTGTGCGTGTATCTGTCTGCATGTGTGTGTGTCTGTGTTTTGTGTGTGTATGCCTGTGTCTCTGTGTATTTGAGTATGTCTGTGTGTGTCTAAGTTTATGTGAGTGTGTCTGTGTGTGTCTGTGTGCGCACCCGCCCGCCCGCTCTCCCGCCCGCTCTCACGCTCTCCCGCCCGCTCTCCCGCTCTCCCGCCCGCTCTCCCACCCGCTCACATGCTTGTCACTGCTTCCTTTGATGGGATCCCCGTGCTCTAATCTGTATTCTGCTGCTCTCTCCCCCTCAGTGTATTCCTGCGCTCTTCTCAGAGACATCCTGCTACAGGGCCGCCTCTATATTTCCAGAAACTGGCTGTGTTTCCATGCCAACCTCTTTGGCAAGGATATCAAGGTGAGGCCCTCTATCACTCTCTGGGGTTCATTCACTACCGACTGACTATATAAGTATATAAACAATTTGAAGGAATCTGCTGAATTTTAGACTGTAATTTTCATATAATATTTTGTGTGTGGTTCCTTTTGATCTGTATTCAGACTTAATTTTTGTGTAAATATTTGGTCCACATCTAGATTTCTGCATGCTGCAGAATCATGTGAAGTGCGTTAGGAATACTGATAAAGTGCTCTCTTTATTTTATTTGACAAATATTCCTTTCCACATTTGTTCTATCCTTATTTTATTCCATAAATCTGTATCTAAACACTACTTCTGATATGGAATATGGGGTCCTAAGCCCTTAAATGGTAAATGGTTGGCACACATAACCTGTTGAGGCTGTACTGACAGTCATTTACTCTAATTTGCGTCCCCTATGCACACAATGTGCTGTTAAGATCTCTGGACATTTCTGCAAATGGACATCTGGATCCCGTTTAGCAGAAAGCGTGGCTCTTGTGTGGGCCCACAAAGGCAGCTGGCATGTGACGTTAAGGAGTAGGGGGTTTGGGACGTGACCGGATGTGCGGAGTACCTAATTAGCACGTCATGCCCTTCATCACCTTACATGCATTCATATTTTCAGTAAATGGTCAGGAAAGAGTGTGACATGGTGGCTAAGTGGCTAGTGCTGTTATCATACACCTCCAGGGTGTTGGTTCACATCCTGACTATACCTTGGGTGTGTGGAGTGAACATCTGTGTTTCACAGCCTCCCTCTGGGTAACCCATTTTCATCCTTCCATCCATAAAGATGCAGTCAGATGAGCTGGTATCTCTAAATTGCCCATCGTGTGCTGGTATCTCTAAATCGATCATCACGTGTAAGTGTATGCCCTGTAAGAGACTGGCATCCCGTTCAGGGTGTCCCTGCGCTTCCAGGCCCACCATGACACTCTACTGGGAAACCAGTTATGGAAGATGGATAGTTGGATTGAAAAAACAAAAACCTGCCTCATTAAGAAAACTGCCTACATGACTACAGCTCTTTAAGTCATTTTACATTTGCTATGTCCAAAATCATCCAATGATGCTTTACAACTACAGAAATGATAGCATTAATATTATAATATTAATATTTGAAAATTAGTTTAAAACAATTTTATCAATGTAAAGCTAAGATTAATATTATAATACTAAAAGTAGAAAGAATTTCACAAATAATAGGTAAATAATACAGAGAGAAACAGGAATGTTCACAAGACACAGACTCAGGCAGCTTATGCGCGTCAGCTAATGCATCTGGGCGTCAGTTTCACATGTTAAACTCATCGCTTCAGAATAACATAATGAGGCAATTCTCTGTGCAAATAGGTTCCTCTGTGGTGCTTGTGGGCAGCACCTTCTGTATTCGACCGACGTTTGCATTTTGTCATGTGAGGGAAGTCAGGTGACTGTCTGCTAAGTTTGGCAGCTAAGATTCACATTTGCGGCATTTGGCCGACGCCCTCAGCCAGAGTGACTTACACAAGTGCTTTGAATTCTCGTCAGTGAACATGTTCTGAAGATGAATGAGTTGTTACAGGTGCGTGTGGTGTGGCCTTCGCACAGACAGTGTTCCGGCACAGAAAGGACGTTTCGGGCCGGCGGGAGCCCGGTGGGAGCCCGGTGTCAGCACCGGCCTTGTGGGTCCTCAGCCAAGCATTTTAAATTCACCTGACATTCAGTGTGTACTTTGGGGATGGTGTCTCCAGCACGATGAAACTTTCACTAAGTGTAGATGAAGTCTCCGAAGAAGATGAAGCTGTTGCAGGGGTGTCAGACTCCAGTCCTGGGGGGGCAGAGCCCTGCACATTTTCGGGTTTCCCCTCATTTAACACACCTGATTCAAATCCTTGCACCTCTTTGTGCTAATTACCACACAGCTATTGAGCTGAATCATTTGTGGGGAAGAGGGAAAGAACACACATGGCGCTCCGCCCCCCCCCCGCAACTGGAGTTTGACACCCCTGCTATAGTGAGAAGCAGAAATGGTTAATGGCTGTAGGTCCTTTTCTTGGGTTTAAACCTCTTCTAAACCCCTGTGGGGCAGCATGTGACCCAGCAGGTTAGAACACAGCGCCCATGATAGGAAGGTCATCGGTTCAGATCCTGTTGCTGGCAGAGTGGTATCACTGTTAGGCCCTTAACCCCAATTGCTCAAAGGACCGTCTCCCTGCTTTCTGGATTGTGGGCTGCTTTGGCTAAATCAGTGAGGCCTAGCTTGATCTAAACTGCTGCAAAATCTTCTAGCGTGTTTACAGGTTTGACTCCATTATGTTCCCTCCACCTTTTTTGTTTTTTACTTATCAGCTGTTCATTCCTCCACTAGTATGTAAACCCAGCTGCTTAAGCTCCAAGCCATTGAAATCGTTGGGGGCAGAGTGAATTCTGGGATAGATTCCATGCAGCGTGCTGAGGCTGCGCCCCGCGGGAGGACACTCTGTGTGCCTGAACGTGCCTCCTGTCCGCCTGCAGGTGGCGATACCCATAGTGTCCGTGCGGCTGGTGAAGAAGCACAAAACGGCCGGGCTGGTGCCGAATGGGCTGGCCATCACCACGGACACCAGCCAGAAGGTGGGGCTCAGGCTCGGCATGCTGTTAGACTGGAGCGGTGCGAGCCGGCGAAGGCCGCCCATATAAGGAGCCTTCATGGTCACTGCCTGGCTGTTTATTAGAAAGCCCCCTAATATCAATTTCTTAATACCCAGTATTTCTGCCCAGCTTTGTGATCCGGTTTCTCTCCACATGTGGCAACAACATCTAATTTTATGTCTTAAGTTGCGATTTTGGCCTGTTTTACCCCCTGCCCCGGTGTGCCTTGCAAAGGTCACCCTGAAGGGCCCCCGTCCCACCGGGCCCCCGTCTTCGAGGGTGACTTGGGCGCAGGCAAACGCTCTTTTATACTTTCCTTGGGTTTATTTTTCAAGACTGGGGAATTTGAAATTTATGTTATACAGGCTTTCAGTCTTTTCATTTTATTAAGAAAAAGATTATGTTATATAATTGTATTGCGCGTCAAACGTTCTAAAACAAGTGCTGTCCTCTGTCCTGTGTAAGCACTCTTTTGTGGATCATTAGGAGTGTCTCAGTCGATGCTAAGGGGACCTTCTGTATATCATATATCAGTAATCTGACACTTTGTGACAAGCTAACACCCCTCCCCCCTATGTCCTCTACACAGTATGTGTTTGTGTCCTTGCTGTCCCGAGACGGTGTTTATGATGTCCTGAGGAGGATCTGCACACACCTCCAGGTGAGAGGACGACATTGAACTTTGGGCACAGACTTATGGGAAATACATGCAGACTTGCTGAGCTTTGGGCATGGCTATCATGCACAGACTTATGGGAAAAACATACAGACTTACTAAGGGCGGATGTTGTGTGTATGCTGGACCCCTTACTGAACTGATAGCTTACATTTCAGACATACTTGGTGACGTAACGTCCAGTGGCAGGTTTAAACTAATCGGGGGGTTAGTTTGGTGGCTAAGCTAACACACTTTGACCGACATAATATCATAATTTTACATCAACATGAAGATTTAAACATTTAAATACCGTGCCCTGTAACTTGCTAAGCCTTCTGCACAGTGCTGTGCATGGGGGGGGGGGGCTGCTGGTTGGCCCCCCCTTCCAGTTCCTCACCCCAGCTCTGCCCAGCAGGTCAATGGCAAGAAGAGCCTCAGCTTTAAGCAGTACATGGAGGAGCCCAGCTCACTGTCACAGGTGAGTGAGGGACATCGCAGCACCTGCTTGCCACCCAGCAAGAAACGGTGGTCATATGCTCTGAGCACTGGGCCGGAACCTGCATGCATATGTAAGGAACAGTTCTGCCTGTGCTGGTCCATTTGGGTCACAAGGGCCATGCTCTTCCCAAAATAACAAGGTAGCAGAAGGATCCCAGAGATGAATCCCAGGGGGTGTTTGTTTACAGTGCGGGTTGGTGATGGAGGTGCTGGAGGTGTAAGGTGAAGTCTTTCCCCTGTCCTCAGTGTTGGGGGGGCCTGTCTTCATGTAGCACCTCCTAGGGGGAGGCAGGGAGGTGGGCATCGCTCAGGTCCGTCAGCTGTCATTCTGCGGCTGCTTTGGGGTGGATGGGCTCCTTAAACCCCCGGGAGCCCGAAGTCCTTCGCCTTCAGCTGCCAGTTATATCTGATTATCTGCCTGAGTAATATCTGTCCCGGCCTGCTGGATCATATTCACTCCATGCTCTAATCTACTGGCGTGATGATGAATCCTCCAAGGCTCCACTGTCACGCAGTTCTGTGCTGGGTTTGGATTTCAGAGGCTTTGAAATGGGATCCAGAAGGAGCTCCCATTTAATGAGACTTTTCACACTATAAAGGGCACTGTTTATGGTGTCCATTCAAAAGTTATTTTCATCGCATCAGAGTTTACAGAAAAAACATCCACATCTCACTAAAGTGGGATGAAGGTTATTGGGTAAATTTAGTTGTACTTTTACATAATACTGAATTCCTGTTACTGCAGGGATATAATCCCTGTTTAGCCCTGGTTAGAGTAGCCGCAGCACTGCCGCAGGCTGCTGCGCACCGGTGTAGTGCAGCAATGGGGTGCCCAGGTTTGTCGAGGACCACAGGTCCTGCTTCAGCGGTGTCCAGGTTAGCTGTAAGTGCAGCTGGTGCTCCAGGTGTAAAGCTGTTTCTAATGGAAACGTAAACCACTGACTTCAAGGATGGAAGTTCCCAACCCCAAACGTAGTAAGTTTTTAAGATCAATGCATTTGTATTAGGGCTGTCAAAATTAATGGTTTAACGCAGATTAATCCATCATCATGATTAATCTGATTAAAAATTTTAACGCAATTAACCCATCTGCAGCGCAGAATGACTCAAAATCCCTGAAATGTCTCTGCCAACCCATTTCGGGCAGTTCTGGTGAGTTCCATTTGCCCTGGGAACTCGTATTCCGAGTCGGATTCCGAGTTTTGAAGCCGGAAGTGACGACATGCGCGCTCCCGTTTCTCGGAGATTCAAGAAATATCTCGGAGCAGCACAGAGGATCCCGAGTTCAGAATCCAAGATGGCTGCGCCCTTTATCAACAGAAGGGAAAGTTGTAGTTTTATACTGTTTAAGCACTACTTCTCATTTGTGGCTCATTAAATCGGCCACACACACTATACCGTCCAACTTATCTGTGGACGTGTTGCTACAGAGTTTTATATGTAAAGCACCGCGCGTAATGTGTTATCAACTGATATTGCTAACAATGGCAATTAACCGGGCTAGAATTTCATGATTAGTCGGATTATTTGTTGGATTTACGGTATTTTGGGCTAATTGTAAGTGAACGAAGATAAAGACCATTTAAACTGAGGTACCTTAAATACAACAAATTGTCCGGCTAAGCAAAAAATCTTGCTTTTTGATATGGGTCCATGGTATTGCACTTCTGTGGCAGATGGAATGCATCCGACTCGTGTTCAAGATGTTCAATAAACATGTTAAGTGCATATATTTTCCTTTTTTTCTTGAGTCCGTTTGCTCATGCAAAATGAAATGCGATTAATATAGATTAAAAATGAATGATATTTAATTGTGATTAATCGAAATTAATCCACAGCAACCTGGTGATTAATCTGATTAAAAAATTTAATCGTTTGACAGCACTAATTTGTATGTTACATGTGTGTCCAATTAGTGATTACTGTGATGAGAAATCCTTTCATCAGTCATCGCTCCATCCATTCATACATCAGTCTTCCAGTTACTCATCCAGTGCAGAGTCACTAAGACACAGCAGATTACAGGGACCTCAGCCGACATATGTGGGGTCTCCTCAGCCGGCGTGTGCGGGGTCTCTTCAGCCGGCGTGTGCGGGGTCTCTTCAGCCGGCGTGTGCGGGGTCTCCTCGGCCGGTGTGTGCGGGGTCTCTTCAGCCGGCGTGTGCGGGGTCTCCTCGGGCGGTGTGTGCGGGGTCTCCTCGGCCGGCGTGTGCGGGGTCTCCTCGGGCGGCGTGTGCGGGGTCTCCTCGGCCGGCGTGTTTGGGGTCTCCTCGGCCGGCGTGTGCGGGGTCTCCTCGGTCGGCGTTTGCGGGGTCTCCTCTGCTATCATTCACCCAGTCTTCTTCTGACCTCAGGATGAGTTCCCTATCCCAGAAGAGTTCCCCCCGGTCCTGAACTGGAGGCGGAAGCCTTCGGTGGCCTCCGTGTCCTCCTCGCTCCCTGACCTCCTGGGAAAGTCAACCACCAGCCTGAACACGGTGGAGGCATCATTCCAGGTGGATGCAGATGTGCAGGGTAAGGAGACACAGGAAGCTGACAGGCAGCATCATGCCAAGTCAGGTTCTGCGTGACGCACTCTAGAACCCATGGAACACAGCCATGCTGTGTTCAGCATTCTGATAGACATCGGTTTTTGTCTGCTGAACCTAAAATTGACAATTGTATTTGTACAGAACATTTCCTGCAATTTCTTCAAATCATTGACACAAAGCTTAATGTAAAACGATTGCATTTGCAGAGCTCTTTAGATGAAGAGTATGTCTTGTCTGACTTGATTTGACATTTAATATTTGAAAAGAGAAGGTGTTTGGCGATCTTCATGCCTCTACGATTCAGTCTTTATATTAAACGCTTTTGAAATCCCATCGCAATTGACTAGGTGCCTAAATCTCAGAAACCTCAATTACTGCACTGGGTCCTTTACTCATGAGATGCTCTCCAGTGCTCTAATTCTAAATATGGGGGTGGAGTTTGATGTGGCCTCGAGGTTTTTTGGATTACAGCCTAATCTGTTATGCAGTGAACGATTCAGAGTAGTACAGGCAAGCCTAGGATGGTCAAAATTAATTTATACCCCCAAATTTTTCTGCTTGTGCTCCTTAGACACCGAAATCATTTTATATTGTGTTTTGCCCAGGTATAGTATACAGTGTCACCAAATCTGCAGTATCTGACAGTATTTTATATTGTTATTCTGTCTGAGGGTTGAATGTTTTTTTTTTCCTGTAACATGCCTGTAGTCACTGAAGTCTTGAAAAACCAGTTCCCTGTTAAAACAAGGATTTTAATTCACCTGCAAATATCCTATTACAGAGCCTGTGATGGCAGTGGGGCTCCCACGCCAGATTAGCGGAGATTGAGAACTCAGGTTTCACTTTGTGATGGAGTCATGCTTTTAGATATTTAGTTTTCAGGATGAGAGTTGAGGGGGGCAGGAATGCAAAACCGGCCCCCTCTTTAAAAGGACCAGAGGCCGTCCAGATGCTCAGGGCGGCTTCTGAGTTTACATAGCAGGAAGAGACCACAACTTTGGCCTTTGGTGTGTACCGCAGAGGGGAACCTGCAGCCTGAGAAGGTTCTGGGTGAGCCGGTACCACAGCTGGGCCCGATGGAGCACCTGCTTCTCAAGCTCTTCATCGTGCTGTGAGTCCCACGCCTCAGGCCTCTCCTTCTTCTGGCCAAAGTCACGTGCTTTATAAATGTCAACTTGTCCTGCACGCATTCCACCACAATTAAATTACGTAAATATTACTTCTTTATTTCATTCCGTAGCAGATGATTTATGCGAAATGGGAGATACATCTGCGCTTTGGCTATTAGTAATAAGCCAGTGGTACAATCATCATATTGCATGTTGTCCAAAGCACAGTGTTATCCAGTGATTGCTAGTAACATTATACAGTAATAATTGATTTTAAATTGCACCTGTTCAACTGCAAATGTAAATAGTGATTAATGAATATGAACCTGGAGTTACAAATGCGTTGCTTGCTTTGGTCTTCTAATTTAGATTTGTCCCCTCTTTCTACTGCCATCTAGTGTACAAATGTGGAATGCCTTCATTCTCACCTCAGTGCAGTGGAATACATGAAGTTTATTCCAGTCTGTCACTGTGATTTGTAATTGTCTTAAAAAAAAATCAGCTTTATATTTTTGATAAAATAGAAAGAATGTTGTTAGAATTTCCTCTCAAAGTGCTTTACGTTTCGCTGAGTTCATTCAAGTTTCAGTGACAGTGTTACCCAACGCTCACCCGTATAACGCCCCCCCCCCCACAGCATCCTCCTGCTCATTCTGTCCTCCTGTTACCTGGCCTTCCGTGTCTGCAGCCTAGAGCAGCAGCTCTCCCACCTGAGCACAAAGCTGGCTCTGCACATGACAGAGAGGTGAGGCCCACCCACCCGCCCTTCAGACTCCATGGCAAGGTCATTGCATGAGTCTGAACCATCGGATGAAATCTGATTGGCTGGCTGATTGACGCCCTCATTAAGCACTGAAGCAGTGCCGAGATTCCCGTTATGCCATTACACAGCAGCCCCTCCTGGTGTGCAGGGCTGACACCCTCATGTGTCCTCCTATGTTTGCTGTCTTCCAGGTAACCCATGCTTCTCTCTGCATCACGACGGAACAGACCAGACTCCCCACCAATGACCTCAGGGCTTCTCAGCGACAGACAGTCTGGCATCCTGATATTGTGCAGGCACCCTATAGACTGCATATTCCAGAAAAAAACAGCAAGAGGATTATGTTGAGCATCAAAGGAGGATGGGAAGTGAAGATCCGTTCAGTGATGGACTGCAGGATGTCCTGGTCTTCAAGTCCAGCTGGACACCCTTGGAGCAGCAGCCCTGCCCTGTGTCTGCTCCTCCATGTCCCAAATGTCCACAGTTATGGTCTAACATGAAGGTCGATAATTGTGAATTTGAATTAATTGTCATTGTTGACACACCACAGTGCACAACAACGAAATGTGCTCTCTGAATTTAACCCATAAGTGACAATGTGACATAGCTGGGGGCAGCTAATTCAGCGCCCAGGGAGCAGTGTTTGGGGGCAGTACCTTGCTCAGGGTACCTCAGTGGCGCCTTGCTTGTTGGGGATTCGAACCTGCAATCTTTCAATTTCGAGTGTGCTTCCCTAACCATCAAGCCACCACTGCCCACTGACCAGGCAGATGCTTACAGCACAGACAGTGACGGAAAACGCCCTGAGATCCTGTGAGGCTCCCTCTTGCTCTGTAATGCGGGATCTGACTCCACTGAACCTCCAGAAGGTTATGGCAACAATTGACAAAGACATGGTAGATTTCAATGAGATGCTTCCCTTTTAGAGTCATAGAATGGGCATAAGTGACATAACTTCCATGTCTAATTTAATTTTTAAAAGTTTTGGAAGTACATGAAAACATTAACTCCTTTCACTATGATTCTGGTTCCATAGTCAAATATCAGGAGTAAGATCTAACCTGGATATTCAATATACCTTCTCCATCTTCTGCTTTAAATCCGCCCTGATTGCAAATTCAGTCTTTGCTTTTCCAGTCAAGACACATGAGTGAGATCAAAGTTTCATTCTGAGAACTTTGAAAAAGGCTGTTCCCTTGGGTTACCGGGAGAATCGAAAGTCAGTGTCCAAGATATGCAGCAAATGGCTTTTAAGGGCGAGTCATTGCAACACTTTTCATTGTTGTTTATAATGTTCCTATCAATCAGTTTATTTTAACAAGCAGACTTAAAATGATAGATTGCATTTTGATATCGCTGATGGTTCCTTGGCATTCATTTCAAAACGGACAACCGTTGCTTTGGAGCTGAACTGCAGGCAAGCACACAAAAATGATAAGTCCAGAGTGGAGGGACTAGGGATAACATATGAGGCAACATGCATGCTTCATGCAAAGGGCTGATTAAGTGGGTGAAAATGAGGTGAGATTATGTAGCAAACATATGGATGATTGGTTCCCAGAGGCCTGTAACATACTCGTTAACGAGCGTGGCTTATCTGGGGATACACGGCTGGGGGTGCCACTGGTTTGCAGTCCGTGTGTAAGCGTGTAGTCGTCACGGCCCTTTTGGTCCGGCACAAAAGGGGCCGAATGAATCTCATGGACCCATAGGTCACACAGTTCCTCAAAATGACCTAGGGGGCATATGATCTACGAGGAAAAAAGTTGTGTGTGTTTTGTATAATTGAAACTACATGGATTTAAGTGCTGAAATATTTGTGTGCAATTTTATACTGTGATTGTATGACATTCATTTATTGGGAGGTCAACACGGTCACTGTCTTGTGTAGTCAGCCACTGTTAATTACTACTGGAAAAACAGCAGCACTTGTGTAAGGCAATAAAATCCATAACATGCTGCACTGCTTGGTTCAGCCGGACCGGCAATATTTCAATGGTGGTCTTCCTCTTTTTTTCTCTGAGCTGATGTAATCCCATGGGTGCGCCTCTGAACAGCATCGTTTGCTGTTCTTTTGCAGCTTGCACATGTATAGTAATGGATATATGAGAGCACATCGTATTACAAAAAAGGGAAGATAATTTGCATCACATTTACTGAACCGGAGCCACTAAAAGCTCCTCTGGGGAGAAACATCTACAGTGTAAGTCAGTCTACAGTGTACATCAGCCTGCAGTGTACCTCAGTCTGCAATGTATGTCAGTCTACAGTGTACCTCAGTCTGCAGCGAATGTCAGTCTGCAGGTTGCAGGGCAGGTACGATTACAGCTGTTTCAGATGGTGTAAGCTCTTACCTTCCCACTTATTGCTAAACGTGTTATAAATTGCAGTAAAAAAACAGTTTTGTCATGCTTGTAAATTGCAACTATCCATAGTGTCACATCAGATCACCCACTAGTGGTATATATAACGGTGTGTATCCATGTGTTCATACACTTTGCCACAGACGGTGTGTGAGAGTGTCAGACCCTCTGGGGGAGAGAATGAGGCCTGTGCTGACAGCCATTATGTTAAAGGACCCCCAGCCCCCGAGAGCGTCTGCCCTCGTACACAGCCCTGGCCGAGCGCCCCCAGGGCTCACCTCGCTCTTTCGCTTACCACCCCGGTACTGGCAGCTTTTTGGGTCTTGGTCTGGTCATAAGTGCAGAGATTTTTTTTCTCCTTTTTTTCCTTTTAGTTGACAGGTTTCTGACATATTGAATAATTCATAGACCATCTCCTGGTCACGCTATGGAAGCGTCCCATTGTGTTTGATGGGTAGGGGAACATTTTGCTGTGTCGTGCACAAACTAAGGCTGGGAGCACAGTCTAGGTGCATCGCTGAGGCGGCAGTGTGCGGCTCAGCGGGCTACAACGCTGAGCCTGTGACTGGAAAGTGCTCAGGTCAAATCACAGACTGGGGTTGCCGTTTGGCCCCCATGCAAGGCCTATACCCAATAACTGCTCTAAATATTGGCTTTCTCAAGAAAAAAAAGACTATTTTTTATACCTTTACTTCAGATAAAATGTAATTTGTGCTAAACATCTTTTTACTTAGTACTACAGTAACAGCCATAAAATGGTGTTTCCCATGTTATGAGGTCCAGTGTTCATGTTAGCTTTCTCCTCAGTAGGCTGCACATTCACTTCGCAAGTATGATTCAGTATATGATGAAATCTGATTTTTTGTAGCTTGTACCTTACTGGATTTCTAATCTTCCTTTTGCTACTGGGGATGATGTGTCGGTTGACTGGGAAATCTCAGATGCCCCTCCCCCCCCACAACACGTGGGTCTGTTTTGGTCGTCAGCCACAAAGTGTAAAGCAGGCGTGTGTCCACTGGGCTGAGCTGCTTCTGATTACCAACTGATGGATTACATCTACAGAGATATCCAGGCCGTCATCTGGACGGGACACAGCCCTCTTGATTGTCAGAAACCATATCCACAAAGCAAATGTGTCATGGAAGAAAATGTCACTGCATGGCTTATTTGTAAAGTAGGTCACTGTACAGTGTTCAGAGAAAACCATTTCCTAAATAGATGAGAAGTTTATATATTGGAGCCTTATAGAAGATTTTGAAAGATTGAAAAGGTAAAAATTTTACTGTTTCTATTTGCTTCTACGATACACGTGAATGCAGCAGCTTGCAAATACAGGTTCTTGCGTGAATTTACATAGATTTTCAGATGATTATTAGACGGTGCGTTTATTCTCCTGGACACTAGGAGGCGATAGAGTGCCAGAAATTCCGAAATTCCTGCTATCAGGAGCAGCTTTACTGCCTACTGCAAGTCATTTCGGCCATTACTCATATTTTACGTGTTTAACCTTCCATAATCCTGATGGTATTCTGTGGACTAGTTTTAGGTTTATTTGTAGTTTAGCGGCAATCATCCCTCCATCCATTCACCATTCAGGGGGGAGGGGACACGTACCCTGAACGGCTTCATTGCCGCCGCCGCACCCCTTCATTTAAATGATGTGAGTTCTCTCCCCCCCCCGTGCACCCACCCCTCTGTCCATCCTCCTAATTGCTTATTAGGGTCAGGGTAGCGGGACTAGCAGTCATCATTTAAAGTGCATTCAATCTAAGCATTTCTTATCAAAATAAAAAATTAACTAAACTGAATACATGGAGCCACTTTAAAGCCTCAAGTACGGGTTACGGACGTAGGGCGAGCGTGAGAAACGATGAGATCAGAACTGTACCGATATGAAGCAGGTAAGCAAACGGAAGCGGCCAAACCGAGGAAACGCAATGAGATCGGGCCTGATTAAGGTCTGCAGACCGCTGGTGCAGCATTAAAATGTAGCTAAACAACTGCATACCTTCTTGTGTGTGCGCGGAAGTAGGACTAGTAGTTTTTTTTCTAAAAGAACTGCAATAGAATCAGTGAACGAGTTAAGGCAGAGGTCAAAATAGCCAAAATTGCGCATGCTCTTTAAGTGTTTAAACTTTGTAATATTATGCAGTAATTAGCTCTATACTCTTATGCACCGAATAACTATTCCGGTTAGATGTTTGCTGATGAAATGTTTTCAAAAACGCCGGTAATTAAACGGCTCTGATGCTGAAACTAGGGGGCTGTCATCCTCCTCTAGGCGGCCTCGCTTGAGGCTCCCCTCCCCATTTCTTGTACTGCTTTCCGGTGGGGGCCAGTAGGAGGAGAAGCTGGGAATCGCTGAGCTAATGGGGGTGGGACATTTCAGAAGTGCCGTCGCCGCCAAGGTCTTGTCCTGTTATTACAAAGGTTGTGTGGGAACAGATTTTTTTTAAAAGTATAAAACTTGGATTTACGAAATATTTTTAGCTTATTTTGTAATTACATCTGCCCTGTAAAATGTTAAATACGTCCTTATCTGTAAGGCTATGATGCTGTTCTTTCCTAAAGGTATATCTGTAACAGTATCTGGCCAGTGTTACTTAATCTTACTGAAACTTAAGATGAAATTTCCTTTACAAAAAATGGCAAGCCCAAGTGAAATGAGCAGTTCCACTGTTGGTCTCCAGTGCATAAATATTTCAGCTCATTCCTATGAAACGGCATTTCAACCTTGAAGCAGCTGTAGTGAAATAATGTTTCCTTCAGAGTGTCAGTTCTGTCTGATAGGGCTCCTCGGTGATGGAGCACGCCACGTTCCAGGCCAGTGGCTAATTGTTCGATTAGCTTCACGGTTGGTGGAGGTTTCAGACGGATCACTGAACAGGTGAAGTCCCTCCCCATGATGGCTGAGAGATCAGGAGTTATGACCGATCTTCTCTTGGAAGTACCTTCTGCTGACTGATGGAGTCCGAGGGTGCACATGGGACCGTGTACGATGACTGCTGCCACACCAAGGCGTTTGCATTACTGCCTGATTGTCAGAAGTGTCAAACCTAAAAGTAAAACAGAAAACATCTTTTTTTGACTCTTTGAGGGTGATATTTCTATCGTGTTTGACAAGAAGGGGGAAAGCTGTCACAGCAGAGAGAATGATTCTCCCTGGAATGTAACCTCACGTAAAAATAATTAACATTTAATACTAAGCAGGTCTCACATATGCACAGCAGACCACTCATCAGCGGGAACTGCTAGAATGAGACCCTGAAGATTGACTTTCTCATCCTCTCAGTCTTGGCTAATGTTAAACGGCTCTCTTGTGGATAGCCCACATGTTACAGTATATTGACTCCCATTGTAAAACGCCCCCCCCTCCCCCGAGGTTAATTCTGCTTTTCCCATCTTACTGACTGATCTACACTGTCAGTCCCACCCCCGTCCCATAGCTCCTATGAGCTATGAAAAGTGTGAGCTGTAGGAAAAGGACTGTCATTTGTCATAAGCAGCCTTTTTGCCTGCTGAGAGTAATTCACTAAAGACTCTCTCCAGTGCTGCTTTGCCAGAAAGATTAGATTGTAAAATAATACTTTTTATACAATTTTAACTTTTTAACCATGGATGAACCTGCTTTCTGTGTTTTTGTTGTTTAACTGACTGGGATTCAAGTTTGCCCAGTTAAGACCTGCATTGTATAAAACCCTATTTGTGTTTATTGTCATTTATCATATAATGTCTGTGTCACTGTTGTGTGTAAAAGGCTCATAATGTTTCTGCTGCTTCCTACTCAGTGCAGATGTTTCCATGTCTGTGCTGCTGTCACCTGCTCAGTACATCCATGGTTAGTGGGACGTGCTGAGGCTCAGATGCTTGTGTGTCTTTTATGAGGAAGTAGCCATTCAGTGATCATAACCGAGTTCTAGAATCTTCTACTTCTACACACACAGTATACTGTCAACCAAAGGTGAGGCCAGCCGGTTATGTTTATCTGGAAATTGTTTTTGCGAACGTGTATTCGTTTTGACACAAATGATTAACGTTCTCCCATTTCCAGGGATTATACCACGGCTGTGAAGTTATAGAGCAGCCGTCAAGTTGTCTTTGATTTTTCAACATGCTGAAACGTGATGTATGATCAAACTACTTACTCCTCAGAATTGCTCTGGCAGGGGTTCAGAAAAATACACAAGTCTTTCTCTGACTCTTAAAACAGGTTAGTGTCAGACTGTTGGCTATAAAATGTGATTTTTTTTTTCCTTCACTTAAAAATCAGCCGCAAAGTAACCACAGGTCGGGTAAGAGAGACATCTGCCATGTCTGTGGACCCACATTGGAGTCGATAGGTTCATAGAGGGGCCCTGCAAGAGTCGTATCCATCTCACATATGCAGGTTCAGCTCTGTCACTTAGTCATTTATTCTGATGGAATTCCATCCTTAAAACAACCGATTTTCTCATTTGACCTGAAATGTCCATCTCTCTACATAAGAAACTTACAAACGAGAGGAGGCCATTTGGCCCATCAAGCTCGTTTGGGGAGAATGTAACTAATCACTGAGTTGTTCAAATCTTCTCTATCTCTGATTTAAAGGTACCCAAGGTTTTAGCTTGTGCTATACTAACAGGAAGACTATTCTATACTATAACTACACGCTGTGTAAAGAAGTGCTTCCTCAAATTCATTTTAAAATGTTCTCCCGCTAATTTCCACTTATGGCTACGAGTTCTTGTATTTGAACTAATATTGAAGTAGCCATTTGGCTGAACAGCATCCAGACCTGTTAGAATCTTATATACCTGGATCATGTCCCCCATTAGTCTCCTTTGTTCGAGGCTGAACAGATTCAGCTCAGCTAACCTCTCCTCATAAGACATTCCTCTAAGACCAGGAATCATTCTTGTAGCCATACGGTGAACCTTTTCTGAGGTAGCAATGTCCTTTTTAATATGATGACCAAAGCTGCACACGATATTCTACGTGGGGTCTTACCAAGGAATTGTATAATCTTAGCATTACCTGTTATCAGAAGGTTGCTGGTTCAGATCCCAGGATCAGCAGAATGAATATCCTGTTGTCCCCTTGAGCTGGGCCCTTAATCCCCAGTTACACCAGGAACTGTCTGACGCTGCTTTTTCTAACATGTATGTCTCTTTGTTAGATGCTTGGTACAAAAGCATCTGATAAATGAATAAAACAAACAGTTGCAAGGTCATTCTCTTTCGGGTCCTTGCACTGACAGCCACATGGTATTTTTGGACTTTTGGATGCAACATCACATATTTAACTCGGGTGCCTGAGAGCATCTTATTTTTGTACCAGTAATGAACTCGACGTGATTAATCTTAGTAATACTTCCTCTTGCATGCAATGTGAAGCAGCATCGCAAAACGCAACATAAACCCGCAAGATGACGGGATGATTGTATTTCTGCCTCAGTGTTGCCGCCAAAGGTGATTTAGAGAGTCCAGTCACTGGGCCGGTGTTCCAGCCACAATGTAATGTAAAGTGTATGCAAAGTGTGGGCCTCCACAACAAAGCACACTCTCCTTTCAGCCCTTCATCCCTGTTATCTAAGCTCGCTATCCGGCTTGCTGAGTGTTTGTGAAGAGGATACTGAAAGCTAGCATTAAAAATCAGTATTGCGTAACCAAAGGCAGCAAAGGTTTCTTTTCTCTGCTTTGATGGAGAATTTGAGACCAGCTGCAGCACAGGAGCAGAGAGCTTGGTCAGGGCTGGCAGATGGATCCTACTGTCCTCGTCCAGCTGGACATATCTGGCACAGGTGGTAGGTGCAGTCTCTCGGTCTAATTTGTTTGTGCATTTTGTTCCTCTTTGGCCAGTCAAGTAAAGTCTGTCCTGCAAATTAGAGACTGGGGTACTGTGAGGAAACCTGCAAAGCACATGGAGACCCTCAAAGCTCTATGCACAACTGGGGGGAGGTATGAGGTTACTGTGCTGGGCACTGACTCACTGTACCTGGTAAAATAACAAAACTGGTCCGGCGTCCCTCAGACATATAACATTGACAGGTTAGGTCAGTGAAAGGACCATCACCTACTGCCACAGTGCCACGGCAGATCAGAGTAATCAAGCACATGCTGTTTGTCTGCTTTTCTGGGACTTGCTCAACATTCTCTGTGTATAATGACAAATGTGCAGCAAGCATCCCATGGCTATTGTTTCACGTGCCTCTGGGAGTCCACCTGGCACTGCCTGGTGGACTGCTGCGTACCGCTGGGGAAACAGCCACTCTTGGTACGGTTGGTTAGAGATGAGGATGTGGGGGACAGCGGAGAGTGGCGGCGATCCCAAGCTGCGTAAATCAGAGGACAGAGTGAAGCACAGTGTGGTGGGGGGGGACAGGAGCACTCGTATTCACTGCAATGGGGATCATAAATATTATAGTGGGCGAGGGAAATGCTACATGCAGAAAGCTGCTGTGATTTATTATGATGCCTTTATAATTTATTAAAATGTCCAGGGATTAGCCTTCTAGCTGTGCTGCTTGCAAACACATGAAATCGCTTTTGGCAGCCTTTGTAAATTGTGTCTCGGCGTTTGCGGCTTTTTCTGAGCCACCATGCACTGGAAGGCGGCATCTGTGCCTGTGCCTGTGCCCTGTCCATGTGTGCACTGTGCAGCACAGGGTGTTTGCCGTGTTGCATGCCGGGTGCCGTAAGAGTCCCAGGTCAGGCCGTATTTTATGGTCCGGTGCAGTCTGATTGCACTATAAAACTGTTTGACTTCAAAATATAAGCACATGATTTAGTGCCCATTGAGTTTAAATTAAATATGCAAGGGGTGGGGATTAAGCAGGAAGCGTTTCCAGCTGGAAGTAATGTCCAGCTGCAAGCCCCGCCCCTCCCAGGTCCCTTCCAGTTCATGCATGTGCAGAACAGCTCGCCACACTCTGGACCTTGTTGCAGGAGTTATGCATGCAATATAGATAATTAGACTGTTAGAAACATGGCTGAGACTTTCTTGAAGTTGTGCCTTTTTGAATCAATGTTTCAATAAAACAAAACTGTTGCATATGCAAAGACTATATAAATTATCATGTTATGATATTACTTCAATACTATTTCAGTCCAGATGCATTTGATGCATCCAGAATGAATAATGCAATAGACGTTTCCAAAACATTATACCATTGAGAACGTGATAACTAAACTAATATGCAGAATGCTTCAGGTTTTAGTGATCAATAAATATCTAGGCAAGAAATTATATCATGGATCATATCAATAAAAACGTTATTTGTGTTTTTATTGTGCACCATTTTACACTTAAACAGTACGACGTTATCCGGCTAATAAGCGCTGGCTAATTTCACCACCGTCACTGGTGATAGTAGACAGAAGTATGTTGGTTATTGATCAAATTTTCTGATGCAGACATATGGAGACACAAGCAAAAATATGTATTAATGCATTAAATGTAATTAAGGTACAGAAATAATCCCATCTGCTCAGTTCTTGCTTCGCTACTTCTATCTCTCTTCCTGCATGTCCACATAGCTTCCAAGTTAGCGCCGGTGCTTGTGGTCAACCAATCAGCAAGCTATGGCTCTAAGCGCCAACCAATCAGCAAGCTATCACTGTAAGCGTTTCCCTAGTAGTTTGTGTTAGAATAAAAAGTACTTGGGCTGTGTCCAAATTCAGGGGCTGCATCCTTCGAAGGATGTGATCTATGTAGCCTTTATAGGCTGTGGCTTGATGGTCTGTGCAATCAATCTTGGGATCTGTCCAGCTCCGAAAGATCCAACAGGTGGATCCTTTGCAACTGTGCAAAAGGAGGATGTCTTTCCAGACCGCACTTGAAGGAGCTTTCGAAATGGGACAGCCTCGTTGCGTCGCTGTGATGCAGTTGGTCTTGGAGTGCACCCAAGTGAAGCAGCACTTGAATTCGAACACAGCCCTGGTCTGGAGCAGAGACTAAAAATGGGCTCCTGAACTGGAACAGGAACTACAATGGAGTTCCTGCGGTGTGAGAGTGCCTCATCGCTGCCCATGGCCACGCCTTTGATTGCAGCCCAATCCTGGCACCACCCCATAAATGATCCCTTTGATTCACTCAGGATCCTGCAAACATCTATCTGAGCAGCATAGCAGGATCATGCACAGGATGCTGGGGGTCAGTATCCTCTATCTCAGTGCATTAACACTCGGGCCGTGCCTAGGATGCATCTTGGGAACATCTCACACAGCTGCTGAAGAACTCCATCCTCTCCCCTCTGTATTAGAAACCCTCACGTGGGATTGGTTTTACAACACAACAGGATAGAACAATTATTTTGAGTAAAAATAGACAACTATGGGATAAATCTTGGTTTTATTTGGAGCTTTATGTCACCAATTGTTGAGGGTGAAGTAGTTTGCAAAAGCAATTCATGTAATTTTAGGGCATTTTAGTCTTCCTGACTATAGTGTTTGAGAAACTATAAACACATTTAAGGCACAAATGGGGGAAAAAAAAACATGGCTGGACCAATTGCATTCTTTTGGTGCCACTGTTGTTTTTGACTTTTGTTTTCATAAGTTGCACCTTTAAATCATCTAATGCACACACATGCGGTAATATGTGGTTTAGGGCCTGTGCTGTCCGATGTACTAGATTAGTGGGTGTTTGTGCTTCTCCGTCTCCAGAAGAGTCTTGCTATTTGCTCATGCTACCCTGCATATCATCCCATTTCCTCTTTAGCACAGTTAGCATTATATATCTTGGTGGGGGTGGGATGGGGGCATTTATCTAACCATCAGTCAGGAAGAATGAGCTCATGCAAATACCTGATTAACTCACAGAGGAGCCAGTCTTTGTAACCAGAGGAGAGTAACGTGTCTTTTCCAGCTTGGCTCCTTTGAGGATCTGACGTCCATGGAAGCCACATTTCTTCTTGCCGTCACAGCTGGCTCTCATTAGGAGTGAGCTCATTCGTGTGGCTAATTAACAACCTAACGTTAGGTTCAAAAGCGTAACTATCCCTGGTGTCAGATGACCACATCCGTATAAACTCACACGGGACCCTGTCTGTATGGTATTAACCTCAAAGACATTTAGTGACCACCCTTTAAATGGTGACTCATTACATTTTCAAATCGGCATCAGAAAGAATGTGGTTTTGACACAACCAGCCTGGCTTCTGAGGACAGATTCATACAGGACCATCAGTCAAACCTCCCCTCACAGGAAACACATTTTCATGCACAGTAATGTTCGTCTGACTCAAATTTATTTAAAAAGTCATTCTGTAAAGCTATATCCGTCACATCAAGTTAATGAGGATCAGTATTTGTAGCCTGAGGGCTCCTCTTTCATGTCGACCCCACACGGTCACTGCAGGCCCTCTGCAGTGCTGCTACTGAAGACTCAAACCGAAACGCTGCTCTTGGTCTAAAGAACAATACACAGACGAGGAAATACGTATTTATCCTTGTGCCTCTGAAGATAGAGGTAAAATTCAGGGATAAAATGTGTTTCTGACTAGAGGATTATGCTGGGATGGTGGTGAACCCAGAGCCAGGGTTGAGGCTGTGGTGGCGGGGGGGCATGTTTTGCGTCAAGCTCGCATCGAGGTGAACAGCTAAAAGCTGATTTAGACTTCTGCATAGAGTCTACCCCATAGGTAGCTGCGTAGCTGGGTACGCTACAGGCTATGGTGTATGGCAGGGGCGCCGTAAGGGGGAGGAAAGCTAGGACGATTCCAAGGGCCCCTGAGTGACAGGGGCCCTAAAAAATTAGGAAAATAACTGGATTGGTTTGGACTGGGGGCCCTAATATGATATGCTTTCATGGGGCCCAAAATCTCTAGCAACGCCCCTGGTGTATGGCATGGCACAGGTTATGGCACTGGGTACTGCACAGGCTATGGTGTATGGCATGGCACAGGTTATGGCACTGGGTACTGCACAGGCTATGGTGTATGGCATGCAGAAGTATAAATCAGCATGTTTTTTATATATATATTATATATATTAAAAAAAAAAAAATATCTCTCTCTGCATAAGCTCTGGGGGGGTAGTTGAGCAGTAGTATGCACAGGCTGTACTGGAGTGTAGCTGCAGTGCAGGACACGCACCGAGGCTCTCAGGATTACCGATCCGATAAACGAGTCGTGCAGGGATACTGAAGGCCCACAGGAGTCTGGCTCTGGTGCTATTAACCAAAATGGTCACGGCGCAGCGGCGGGGGGCTGCTTTCCCGTCTCCATTCCGCATTCCGTCTCCATCTGCTAGAGAGTGGAGACGCTCTCGAGGAACACTGCCATCACTCAGAATTCCTACAGCATTAGCACCGCGGAGGGAGGAGAGTAGCATCATGTCGCACTGATGGAGGGGGGGCTTAACACGGGGCCCCTCCCGCATGCAAATGTAATTATACCTCATTTTCCCTCAATTAATGGGTGCTTTAGTTTTGTTTAACATCTGCAATCCAGGATGAAAATAAACATATTTCACACTGTTTTAAATAATGAATGAAGTGGTGTAAAGACATACCTTACTGAAAAAGAAAATATACAACAGCACAAAAATGGAACACAGATCAAGAAATCAGCAGGTCGCACTCGAAGCCGCTGTCAAAATGTTAAATAGCTGAGGAAACTCTATTACTTAAAAACACACTCTGCTGGGCAAGAAGGCCTAATCCACTCATGTAAAGCTTTTTGAAGTCACGTAAAACACTTCCTGCAGACATTTCCCCCAGACTAAAATCCCAGCAGCACTGCTGATGTTTCAGTTTTCAAGGCTGTCAGGTTAAACCCCGGGGGCCAAAATGGACCACTGATGGACACCCTCAGACACTGACGCCCCCCTTGGAAACAAGGCCAGTTCAGCATGTGGGGGTCAAATGCGTCGGAAGGGATGAAGGGCTGACGATGGGCTGTTTGCTTATCTGCTCCAAGCATAAATGCCAGTTCTCCAGAATGTTCTGTTTGGGTCTTCTGGCTTTTTTTTTTTTTTTTTTTTTGAGAGTCCATCTGTCTTGTTGCTGGTCGTCCCTCATGCTCTTCTCCAGCGCAGTTGGTCTGATGAATAAAGTAAGGCTGCCTAAAATAGCATCAGCTAGACTTCCAAGGCACTGGAAGTCTAAGAATGTCACCCTAACCACCAATACGAGTTCCCCAGAATGACATTCCTTATGCACTTTCATTTTTCAGAAACAACCCTGAGCAAAAACACTTTGTAAACACAAAGTACGTCGTCGGCTTAAAACAAAATGGCATATTTGGAATCCCCCGTTTTCACCCAACCAAGCCACTCTCATGTTGTGCTGCTTGCTGACGGAAACAGCAGCAATAGTCAGTAAGTCATAACTAATGCAAATGACAAGCTAGCTGTCTGGTTAAAGTTGATGCCAAATTTCAGATATCTTGTGCTCTACAAAATGCACAAATCAAATGGGTGTTTTTGATCAAATCGAATGTGTGCTAGTCATACTGTCCATTATATAAATTATAACCACTGATTTTGGCAGGTAAGCTAAAATGAGTTAAATTCCACCCATAAGCATTGCAAAATACATAATTTTCTGATATAAGGGGCCGTTCACCGGCTCAGTTTGTTGCACTTTCGTTGATTTTCAACAATATGGGCTATGGCTCGGCAAAAAATAGTACTTAATAGGATGCATATTGTAAAATAGGTAGATTTACAAGGTATACCTCAGAAACCTGCTTTGCTTGAAACTACATATAATCTCCTATGCAGATGTCTGAAGACTCATCAATAAAAGTACAAGTTTACCCTTCTTGCACACATTTGTAAATAAATAAAATTCTAAATCTATGGATGAATGACAGGCAGACTTTCTCTTTCAGGTACTCTTGGCTTTGGCAGAGAATGTTGCCATTTATGAGAGTCATTTTTTATAGCTACTTATACAGTCTGTCAGATACATTTTCATATTACTTTAGTAGATCATGAGTAAAAAATATGTAGTAGTTAGCAATGCCATTACCACCTAGTATGTTTAGTTACCATAGTTCTTAGTATATGTGCTCCTGTCTCAAACACTCATGCTAGCATATTTAAGAGAGGAGGCTGGCCTCGACAGGTCACTTTTTCAGACGGGAGAGTCTCTGTATCAGCTCGCACCACTCAGCCCGCTTGCATGTAATGTACGCTGGTGTGATGGTCTGCGTGAGGGCCTGCGGGCCGCCCTCCTGCCCGGCGCTCTCACACAGAGCCTCGGCGTTGCAGATGACGTACATGCCGCAGTCGTAGCTGTTCTGCTGCGCGGGAGCTAGCTCCTCAACGAATGCCGCTCTCCTGTCAGCCCCGAGAAAGGACTCCAGCTTGCCGGCGATGCGGCGGGCGTGCAGGGAGTTGCTGCCGCTCTGTGAGTCGTAGTGTGAGAATCGGGCCCCCGCACGCCGGAACAGCAGCAGGCTCCAGTGCGATCCACCGGCCGTCTGGTGGGAGTTGTCGTTGACGGCCAGGAAGACCAGGCGGCGGGCGGGTAGGCCCAGGGGCTCCAGGAAGAGTGCCAGCTCCTCCTGGCTCGTGGCGCACTTGATGAACTGCGTGACTTCGGGACTAATGAAGCAGGCTGCCCCATTCAGGCTTTCGAAGCGCTCTGTGGCAAAGTACTCAAAGGCGAAGCCAATCACCTGGTCGTTCAGCCAGTGCGGCCCCTGCAGCAAGGCCACGTCTGAGCGCCTGAGAAGACTGTCCTGGTAGCTCAAGACCACAGGGTCCATTCTGCAGCGCAGAGGCGGAGGCACTACCTGGGAGACACCAGTGACAGGAGCTTAGCCAGCCAACAGGCTGCGGTTGGATGTGAGCAACATTTACCTACATCTACACAGTCACTGTGATCACAGTATTTACACGGCAAAGTTTTACTTACTGGAGCTTTATTTCACTTGTATTTATTGTCAAATTACCACGAGCAAACTAGTCATGAACAGTGCATGCATTTTACAGGATTATTCTGCTGTACAGGCATCTGAGAGAAAACATGTAGCTGGCCTAAAATTTTCAGGAAAATTTTCCCATGTTAGAATTTAAATTAAATATAGCAGAACATTACCAAGAGAATCATCCTCTAGCTAAATATAAAATGATCACTAGCTGCTTTTCATATAAAAATTCTCGGATAGGGAAATTCTTGTTCTCTTTCTCCCCCCCAGAGAAAACTGCTGAAAAGGCCAAAAACCGTGTGTCGGCTCCGTCGTGCAGAACTCATATGTTGCTGGAAACACATTCACGGTGCCAGCTCATTCGAAACAACATCATCTGTCTGTGGGTATGACCAGAGATGGGCAGAAACAGCCTATGCATTTAGGGCAGGTTTATACTCAACAGCATCTGGCTCCACTCTGGGGCTGGAAAGTCCACTCCTGACCTGGATATGACGCTTCTAGGGAGAGCTCAGTAGGTTGGATTACTGAAGTTAGTTCTGGATGTGGCACTAACTTCATATCCAGCACTATTGTGGAGGTCATGTGATTCTGTGCCCCCTAGTAGTGGTATATCCTCCGTTATACAGAATAATATGATATAATCCTAGTGAATAATAATAATCAATCCTTTATTATCCCCGTGGGGAAATTCTTTTTTACGCCTCCCTCAACTTGCTCTTTGTAGAGTAAGCTGTCTGCGAAGGGCAGCCGCCTGTTGGGGTGCCCAGGGAGCTGGGGGTTAAGGGCCTTGCTCAAGGACCTGCAGATGTGCTGAGGCTGGGTTTGAACTGGGACCTTGTGATTACAGGTACACAGGCTTAGCCATCTAAGCCTCACATGCTGTAGGATATGATATTATCATCATAATACATTATTGTGGTTTATTATTAGTAATAATACTTATACTATAATGCTATATAAAATGCTAGTAATATTTTATATTACACGTATATCAAATTATACTAAGTTATAATAATAGTATAATTATAATAACCTATATCCAATACTTCGCCTCCATTCCTGAACTTTGCATAACGTCATGTCCGGCCCCGGAGTATAGGTCATGTGATTTCCGTTCCCATAGTGGAGCGCCAACGTAAGGCACAAGGCAGTACTAAGGGAATCTGACTAGAAAGATGGTCTTTCTCATTCTACCAAACTGAAACTCAAAGGTGTTTATTGCTCTGTGTCCCTGCAGAAGAAATACTGTACAGTGATACCGCTGATCACTGATAGATGCAGAGCACATAATCCCTTGCTCACGTTTTGCTTCACGCTTGCTGCACGTTATTTCACATAGGGCGGTACCAGAGAAAAGTCGTTTTAGCATCAACATCGTAAAATTTTACTTTTAGTAGCACACCGAAATTACATATCTAGCTGCCTAATTTTTGTCCCAAACATAGGCAAAAGCTTCTCTCTCATTCAAAACTCAGTTGTCGCGAGTATCATGGGCATATGACATGTCGTCATCAAGCTAGTATTACATTTAACTCCGCTACTTAATCAACTGGATAAACAACTGCATTGCGGATTATAACTAGTTTATCGTGTAAAAACAAACACTGATACACCCTAAACAGTTTATGGAAAGTTGTGGTGCATCCTCACATGCTCAGCAAAATCAGGCTTTCTCGTGATCCCTCTTACCTTGTGCACACACAGAATAACACAAGCTTAGGAAATAGCAGCGGCTTTTCATTGCAGGCTCCAGACGACCGATGCCGTAAATTGATTTTGGTTGTTTTACGACACAGACTTTGCGACGGCGTTGCACGGCAACTGCTGTTTCCCGCAGTTTCTCGCTAGCGCCCCCACCGTCGAAAAGTATAGCGGGAGCGCGCAATGCTCGAGTATGAGAACTAGCACTGATTAGTAGAAAAACCCTCGGAGTTGTGGTAGGCGTGAGACGGGGAGACCAGATTGGGGTTTATTTCTTTCTTTTAAAAAACATAAGTGGGGGAATATGGTTTTTTGAACTGCACAGTGGTAAAGCCCAATGGGAATGGTGTGAGCAGAGATTAGAGTGTCGGGAGTGAGGGGTTTTGTACGGCTTTTCCCAGCGCTGCATTTTCAGTCCATCCAAAGAGAGTTCGGGGGCGCAGAGGACTGCATTCAGCCGGGGGCTGAGGTAAGGCTGCTCCCCTTCTGAAGCTGCTCCCTGTCTTCCTTGTCTAAATGGAGGGGTCTCTTTTGCACAACAGCCACGGCTGGGCTTTGGCTCTTCAACACCGTGTGTGTACCTTTCCGTTGACGACCGGGATTTCTTCGGCTGCGGTCCAAAGTTACGGCCGGGCTCGGTGCGGGGGGCAGTCGGTCCAGCTAAGCTTCCCGAGCCGCGGCGGTGTAGGGTCTCTTTGGAGAGATGGATATAAACAGCGAATTCATTTCCAGTAACGGTGTACATTTACGCAAATGCCCATTATTTGTCATATACCAGTGGGGGGTATGTTTTGCTGAGTAATTGTTAAGGACATCAGTTAATTGGGCCGCCTGACTCTTAATTTGTGCCCTTAAAGTGCCCTTTTATTCGCCGAAGCCGGCTGTCTGTCCGGCATGTAACCTGCCAAACTCGCGTACCCGGGCGAGGTGAGCAAGATGTCCCCATACAGTTGGCGGTTAAGAGCCAGAACACCGCTTTCTGCTGCCTTTCGGTCCCATTTAATGACAGCCGGCAATGTGCGCCGTTTCTCTAAGCGATCACAGTGTTGTCGGGGGTTGACATTTCCATTCGGCGTTTTGCATCGAGCTGCCGTTACCCTTTGGATGTCATATACATGGTGGAGATACAGGTTATACTGGTGGCGTTTTCCCCAGTGGCGGACACCCGGGCATGTGTCTAAGCCCCGTGTTTCGGGCTTGGTGGGATACTGCAATGCAGAACTCCGTTGTGGCTCTTCAGAGTTGATATAATATTCGGGCACATCGTCCTGATGTTCGAGTTGCATCAGACTTGTGGGACTCCCGGTTCCCTCCGGTTGTACGCATGTCATCGCCATACCTGATGCACTTTCCTATTGCATTATGTTATTTAATACCCGAATACTTCTTACCTCCAGAAATGTTACAAATGTCAAATGTGGTGCACAGCTTCGCGTGTTTGTCATTCACCTGTGGCGAGGTTTTAGCTCAGGGAGAGGGAGTTTTAACTGACCGACGGTTTTCTTGTGCTATAAACCATAACGTCCTGTCGGTGTAAAAGCTATTTACAAACAGCTGTAAAATCTTACACTTTAAGTGCGGTTTTAATTTCCTCCTTCACTCAACGTAAACCCGAGTATAAGATGACCGGAGTCACATGCGTTAAGACTCAAATTAGTGTGTTTGCTTAGTAACAGGATGTGTCATGTTTATCTAATATTACATATAATATATACACATACATACATAAACACACACACACACACACAAATAGGAGTTATATTCTATGAATCTAAGAGCCAGTTCATAAAATAGCAGACATGACAGAGGAAACATGAAATCTAAGCTGTGTTGGGAGAGGCTTTTGCAGTTAAAACACGTGTTTTCTGGCAAAAAGTACTGACGTGAAATTTCTGCAGTTGCCTGATGCTTATTATGGCCTTTGACGGGATGGTCTGATTTCAGTAAGTTACAGTTAAATATCAAATTTGTTATATTTTGACTTTTCTTATAGTCCTGCCCCCCTGGTATTTTAACAGTAAGCGGTGAATGTGGCTGTATGCCCCTACAGGGAAGGTAAATCTGCTTCTTGGCATTTGGCAAGCCGGTGGGGAAATGGCTGCATTTACACTCAGACCGCATGAAATTAGGCAACAGTCTGAGTCAAGCAGCGTATGTTAGCATGTGTCCAGATCCTATGAGCTGTTGCCTAGCAGGGACTTTTGGATCCCACAGTCCTTCTTAGAGCTCTTGGTCATACCCTGACAGCAGGGTTTTGGGCCCAAAAGTAACACATTTTTTTTCTTGCTGAAGGGGAAACTGGCCACACGTAAATCTTTGGCACTCCTCAATTGCTCAAAATTTAAGAAACCTTTGAGGTAAGGAATTTAAAGAAACAAACAGTCTTATCGTGGCGTCCTTCGCATGCCCATACTTAGCAAGTACTTTGGATTCCCCGCTCTGTGCTTGTTCATGGTGTGGGTGTCACAGATGATTGGGTTGAATCATTTTGTCCTCCTGTTCACCCTCAGGACTGTTGTGCCAGCTTTTCCAGTGAGTTCCACCGAAAAGCTGTAATTTAGGAGATCAGACATGTTTACAGCTGATTTTAGGATTGACCAGAGTTTGATTAATTTGTACTTCCTTTTAAAAGAGATCATTAGTTTTCTTTGACTGGTCCAACTGTGACTGTCATGAAGTGCCATTCTGATTTCCTTCAGAGATTTTGGTTTCTGGGCTGAATCTTGTACTGAAAAGCCCTTGGTGGGTAACTTTAGACTTTAACATCAGTCTTTCGTTGTGCCTCCATCTCTGTAACCTCTATGCTTGTGTGCGACATTCTTTGCTAGTTTACTTGTCCTCAAGTTTTGTATTGTCATTCATCCTTTTGTAAGCCATGTGATTTTGGGTGTGATGCTGTTAATCCTGATTCTGTTGTCTTTCAGTGATGCAAAATTTGGTTTCAATATTTTTGTAATTGGTGCAACACTTCAAAATATTTTTTTTTCTTGCTGAACTGTTTTTGAAATCCATGTTTGAACTTTTTATTTTTGTTTTTTTCCGTTCTTTTGTTATTTGTTGCATGTTATTGTGTTTTATAAGAAAAGTGAAATTCTGCAGGTTTTAACAAGACATTCCAGTCACTTTGCATTGGTATACCTTCAGGCTGTTCTCAGTTTGCTATTGGTATTCAGAAGGTTCCCTAGAAATATGTCGTGGAACACAACCTTGGCATTCTCTGGACTGCAACCTAGATTTCCTTTAAAAATAACCCTTTTCAGGGCTGCTCTGCCTTTTGGCTACCTCAGAGAGTCTTTGCAGGTGTGTGGTAGTGGCAGACGTGCTCACCTTTCTTCTAAAAGGAGCTGCACCCACCACGCACTCAGGGTCCCGCCGCCCTGTGCACATTGCTGCTGGCAGATGACGCCGTGCCCTTGTGTGACACACTGCGGCCAGCTAGCCAGCCGGCTTCCCTTGCACACGACCGCACCGGTGGATGGCTCAGAAGGAAGGTTTCCATGAATCAGCATGAATCCCCGGAAGCAACCATGATTGGCCATGCACTGATGCTGTTGCTGGTTGCTTATGTCAGTACTGTTTCACCTTAAACCTACAATCCTCCTCTGAATTCATTACCACAGTGCTTTGACTGAAACTTAAGCTGCATGCATGGTTACAGTCGCTGGGCGAGACGCATGATTCCAAGGTTGCACCAGTTGTGCATTTCCTGGCTTGTGTTCATGGGGTGTGATCAAATGTGCCCCCCCAAGGTTGGCCTCACTGTGGGGTTATATGTATATGTGTGCATGGCACTTTGCTCATGATCCTGATTTGTGTTGGACGTTTTCTGTGTGGGAGACCCATGCAGCTGGGACCTGGAGCGGCACTAGGGGAGGGGAAAGCTTCATTTGACTGAGAACTCACGTGATCAACGAGGTCAGTTTCCCAGTTTTTGCCACATCATGTCATGGTAGTTCTACACAAATAAATAAAATAACATGTTGCCCTCCATAAATTATATATGCGGAGCTTGCATAAAAGGTGATGACTATATAAAACCCCTTTGAAAGGGAAGCTAAGCTGTCTGGCCTTGGGCTGGGATGGAGCGCTGCAGCATGATGACAGACTCGCAGCTGAGGGGCAGCTGGATGCACTGCTCACTAGGGCATGGAAAAATAAGGGCTTTTCTCCTTCGTGTCCATGTTTTGGGTGGCGTTTTTTCTGGAATTAAAAATTTAATTTGAAATGTGTTGCCATGGTGGCTCTGGACAGCAGGGCTGCCTCCTTTCCTGGCCTGGACGTTTGACTCCTGCCGTGGCTCTCTGTGGAGATGCCATGTTCTCCATGCGATGCACGAGTTTCCTCCAGGTACCTTGGTATGTACCTGAAGTTCATAGACATGCATTTGGTGACTCTAAATTGCTTATAGAATATGTGTGTAAGCATGTGCCCTGTGATATAGTGGCGTCCTGGCTAGGATGTACAGCAGCAGTGTTTCCCCTACCGTTATATTAGCCGTTTTTCGAAATCGTTACAAAATTCCCTGCCTCACTCTGTGATGTCATTCAGTGCCGGTACCAGTTTTTATGCCAGTGGAAAACCAACACTTTGAAGTACCGTACTTTTGGTATTTTCTTGAAGTACCAGAATTAAGGTACCTGGTACGGTGGAAAAGTGCCCTTTAAAAAGAATGCAGAATTATGCTTGAGACTTTCTGGGGAAAAGTAGGAGTGCTTGTTTTTATCCATCTGATGTAATACAATGCAGAAGAACTCTTGTAGTTTAGAAATGAGATCGCATAGAGCTGTGAATCGAGATCGCAGTTTTTTTACAATTAATTGTGCAGCCCTACTGCTGAGCTATAATTAAAACAGTCAGAAGGCAGTCTGAGTACCAATTACTGATCTGTAAAAACCCCTGACTTTAGCTGGCTGGCTTCTGAACCCTATGTAAGACTGTTTCCACAAGCTTTGCAGGATCTATACATGTAAACAGCTAGTACTGATAGCATGTTGTTTAACTGTGAGTCTGTAAATTGTATGCTGGGTGTACATTGCGTGGTGTGATGATTGTCCAGATAACAAGCATGGCTGTTTACCGTTTTGAACAGTGTAACCATGGGCTGCAAGATGTGCCTCTTTTCATACATGCAGGGAATCTAACAACTCAATGCAAGCTAGGTTTCAGGGTGGGGGTGGGGATGGGGCTAATTTTTTAATTAAGTGAGTTGGATAACCGTCCCATAAAATGCCCAAGAATCATTGTTTTGGAGTGTGCTCCATAAGGACAGATCATTCTTCCCGAGCAGGGGAGCGGCGATCCACAGGTGAAGTCTGGGTGCTCCGGTTGAACCTGGCTTGTGGCAGCCACAGCAGCAGATGTCCCACATCCAGGCTCCTGGGACCCCCTCTTGCCAGTTTGTTTGCTGGTCTTGGATGAAATGACTCAGACCTTCAAAGGAAATATTTTGCTGCAAGTTAGTACCAGTGA